CGTGTACAAGTAAAGTTAAGATGACATAACTTTGTAAGTGTATATTTTGTTTCCTTTGGCTGTTGGCATGCACTTTGATTTCCTACTTGCACAAATAAAACACGAAGGGCCCTATCTAGAGACAGTGTTTGGTTTGTCCGTTTTGGTCTACCATAGAAATATGGCCGATTTCTGAAAAGTAAGTGTAGATGACAAAAGCTCATTCTATGGTAGCAAACATACAATTCCTTTTTCCAGGTGATTATACTCTAATGAAAACATAAATATTATATTCTATATCTGCCAATAAATCCTCCAAAATGTAAAAAACTGGACTTTTAAATGATGCCTTCAATGGGATTATGTTTACGGTGTGTACAAGTAAAGTGTAGATGAACAACCAACTGATGTCTTTGTTACAACTTTGTGTGTGTGTATTGTGTCAGAGCGCAGAGTTTGTGAGTTTAATTATTCAACGTAAATGGCTCTGTGGCGCAATGGATAGCGCATTGGACTTCTAGTCAAACACTTGAGATGTTATTCAAAGCCTGTGGGTTTGAGTCCCACCAGAGTCACTACCTTAAAGGGACATGCTTTAATATAGAAATTGTGGTCTTAAAGTAAATTAAAACATTCTCCTCTGGCTGTTGGCATGCACTTTGATTTCCTACTTGCATGAACAAGTTGTTGATTCAAGGGATTGTGGGTTCAAGTCACACGGAGTCATTACTTTGAAGAGACAGACGTTCATATAGAAATCATTGACCTACTGTAACATTAATCTAAATTAAAAACTTTACAGGTAATGTACATTGTTCTTTCATTATAAATAGACTCCTTCTAGATACTGGCTTTATTTCCTCCCTTTGACATCTGTGTAAATGGTGCCTTTAATGGGGTTTGTGTTTACTGTGTGTACAAGTAAAATTGAGATGAACAACCAACTGATTTCTTTGTTACGACTTTGTAAATGTGTATTGTGTGAAAGACAAAATTTTGTGAGTCTGAATCTGTGGTGCATATAGAGGCTCTGTGGCGCAATGGATAGCGCATTGGACTTCTAGTCAAACACTTGAGATGTTATTCAAAGGTTGTGGGTTCGAGTCCCACCAGAGTCGTTGCTTTAAAGAGACAGGCTTTAATACAGAAATTGCTGTCTTAATGTAAATTAAAAACATTCTCCTCTGGCTGTTGGCATGCACTTTGATTTCCTACTTGCATGAACAAATGTGAAAGGGCAACTGTAGAAACATGGAGGATTTCAGCAAATAAAGTGACAACAGCTCATTCTGCTGTAACAAACACACAATTCTGTTTTTCAGGTGATTATACACTAATGAAAACATAAATATTATATTCTATATCTGCCAATAGATCCTCCAAAATGTAAAAACTGGACTTTTAAATGATGCCTTCAATGGGGTTATGTTTACGGTGTGTACAAGTAAAGTGTAGATGAACAACCAACTGATGTCTTTGTTACAACTTTTGTGTGTATTGTGTCAGAGCGCAGAGTTTGTGAGTTTAATTATTCAACGTAAATGGCTCTGTGGCGCAATGGATAGCGCATTGGACTTCTAGTCAAACACTTGAGATGTTATTCAAAGCCTGTGGGTTTGAGTCCCACCAGAGTCACTACCTTAAAGGGACATGCTTTAATATAGAAATTGTGGTCTTAAAGTAAATTAAAACATTCTCCTCTGGCTGTTGGCATGCACTTTGATTTCCTACTTGCATGAACAAGTTGTTGATTCAAAGGTTGTGGGTTCAAGTCCCACCGGAGTCATTACTTTGAAGAGACAGACGTTCATATAGAAATTGTTGACCTACTGTACATTAATCTAAATTAAAAACTTACAGTAATGTACATTGTTCTTTCATTATAAATAGACTCCTTTAGATACTGGCTTTATTTCCTCTTTGACATCTGTGTAAATGGTGCCTTTAATGGGTTTGTGTTTACTGTGTGTACAAGTAAAATTGAGATGAACAACCAACTGATTTCTTTGTTACGACTTTGTAAATGTGTATTGTGTGAAAGACAACATTTTGTGAGTCTGAATCTGTGGTGCATATGGCTCTGTGGCGCAATGGATAGCGCATTGGACTTCTAGTCAAACACTTGAGATGTTATTCAAAGGTTGTGGGTTCGAGTCCCACCAGAGTCGTTGCTTTAAAGAGACAGGCTTTAATACAGAAATTGCTGTCTTAATGTAAATTAAAAACATTCTCCTCTGGCTGTTGGCATGCACTTTGATTTCCTACTTGCATGAACAAATGTGAAAGGGCAACTGTAGAAACATGGAGGATTTCAGCAAATAAAGTGACAACAGCTCATTCTGCTGTAACAAACACACAATTCTGTTTTTCAGGTGATTATACACTAATGAAAACATAAATATTATATTCTATATCTGCCAATAGATCCTCCAAAATGTAAAAAACTGGACTTTTAAATGATGCCTTCAATGGGATTATGTTTACGGTGTGTACAAGTAAAGTGTAGATGAACAACCAACTGATGTCTTTGTTACAACTTTGTTTGTGTGTATTGTGTCAGAGCGCAAAGTTTGTGAGTTTAATCATTCAAAGTAAATGGCTCTGTGGCGCAATGGATAGCGCGTTGGACTTCTAGTCAAACACTTGAGATGTTATTCAAAGGCTGTGGGTTCGAGTCCCACCAGAGTCACTACTTTAAAGGGACATGCTTTAATATATAATAATAATATAAAGTAAATTAAAACATTCTCCTCTGGCTGTTGGCATGCACTTTGATTTCCTACTTGCATGAACAAGTTGTTGATTCAAAGATTGTGGGTTCAAGTCCCACCAGAGTGATTACTTTGAAGAGACAGACGTTCATAAAGAAATTGTTCACCTACTATACATTCATCTAAATTAAAAACACAAAGTAATGTACATTGTTCTTTCATTATAAATAGACTCCTTTAGATACTGGCTTTATTTCCTCTTTGACATCTGTTTAAATGGTGCCTTTAATGGGGTTGCGTTTACTGCGTGTACAAGTAAAGTTAAGATGACATAACTTTGTAAGTGTATATTTTGTTTCCTTTGGCTGTTGGCATGCACTTTGATTTCCTACTTGCACAAATAAAAACGAAGGGCCCTATCTAGAGACAGTGTTTGGTTTGTCCGTTCTTGGCTACCATAGAAATATGGCCGATTTCTGAAAAGTAAGTGTAGATGACAAAAGCTCATTCTATGGTAGCAAACATACAATTCCTTTTTCCAGGTGATTATACTCTAATGAAAACATAAATATTATATTCTATATCTGCCAATAAATCCTCCAAAATGTAAAAAACTGGACTTTTAAATGATGCCTTCAATGGGGTTATGTTTACGGTGTGTACAAGTAAAGTGTAGATGAACAACCAACTGATGTCTTTGTTACAACTTTGTTTGTGTGTATTGTGTCAGAGCGCAGAGTTTGTGAGTTTAATTATTCAACGTAAATGGCTCTGTGGCGCAATGGATAGCGCAATGGACTTCTAGTCAAACACTTGAGATGTTATTCAAAGGTTGTGGGTTCGAGTCCCACCAGAGTCATTGCTTTAAAGGGACATGCTTTAATACAGAATTGCTGTCTTAATGTAAATTAAAAACATTCTCCTCTGGCTGTTGGCATGCACTTTGATTTCCTACTTGCATGAACAAGTTGTTGATTCAAAGGTTGTGGGTTCAAGTCCCACCAGAGTCATTACTTTGAAGAGACAGACGTTCATATAGAAATTGTTGACCTACTGTACATTAATCTAAATTAAAAACATACAGTAATGTACATTGTTCTTTCATTATAAATAGACTCCTTTAGATACTGGCTTTATTTCCTCTTTGACATCTGTGTAAATGGTGCCTTTAATGGGGTTGTGTTTACTGTGTGTACAAGTAAAATTGAGATGAACAACCAACTGATTTCTTTGTTACGACTTTGTAAGTGTGTATTGTGTGAAAGAGGAAACTTTGTGAGTCATAATCTGTGGTGCATATGGCTCTGTGGCGCAATGGATAGCGTGTTGGACTTCTAGTCAAACACTTGAGTTGTTATTCAAAGGTTGTGGGTTCGAGTCCCACCAGAGTCGTTGCTTTAAAGGGACATACTTTAATACAGAAATTGCTGTCTTAATATAAATTAAAAACATTCTCCTCTGGCTGTTGGCATGCACTTTGATTTCCAACTTTCATGAACAAATGTGAAAGGGCAACTGTAGAAACATGGAGGTTTTCAGAAAAGAAAGAGACAACAGCTCATTCTGCTGTAACAAACACACAATTCCGTTTTTCAGGTGATTATACACTAATGAAAACATAAATATTATATTCTATATCTGCCAATAGAATTCTCCAAACTTTTAAATGATGCCTTCAATGGGGTTGTGTTTACGGTGTGTACAAGTAAAGTTGAGATGAACAACCAACTGAAGTCTTTGTTACAACTTTGTGTGTGTGTATTGTGTGAGAGTGGAAAGTTTGTGAGTTTAAAATTCCCATCTAAGAGGCTCTGTGGCGCAATAGATAGCACATTGGACTTCTAGTCAAATGCTTGAGATGTCATTCAAAGGTTGTGGGTTCGAGTCCCACCGGAGTCGCTACTTTATATTGTAAGCAATCTTAAAAATGTGACCATGAGTGGATTATGCTCAGTCGCATTGTTCTGGTATATTTAGGTAGATAACTGGCTCTGTGGTGCTTTGGAATTCTGGTGAAAACGTTTAAGATGTGAGTTTAAATCCGAGTTGCTGCTTCACACATTGGATCTCCTTCAACAACCACTTTTACTTCTGGTGTGCACTTCAAAACCCTTCTTAGAATTTGATGACACAACACTTTTGATTAATATACAAAAGCATATACAAAAGGTGTTAAACTACACTGCGTATGTTGTGTGTCTGAGTATGCGTATATGAGTTAAGTTCATACATACTTGCCACATACGTAAAACATTAAAGAGAAACATAACTGATTGTGTAAGTGTGTGTTTGTGTAAGTGTGTGTGTTACCTCAGACAGTTTCTGACACATGTTGTCCTCCCAGCCATCTTCAGGAGGCATTTCTGGGAAAAAAACCCAGTCTGCACCACAAGCCAGGGCACTGACCAAGGCCAGGTATCTGCATATACACACACACATATTTTTTTTAAAATGTAATCTTTGCTTCCCTGTAACAGATATTTGTCAGGCAATCAAATTTGAAAATGGATCTTAGATTTGAGTTGTTATATTCAAACTGTTGTCTGCATACATTTTGGTTTGTTTGGTTTGAGAATGTGTGTCTGCTATAGCATATTTAATAACTGACACACTTGGGTATCAAGATATAATGTTTTCTGATATTGTACCAATTCTCAAAAACATTTTTTTATAAAAAATTGACATACAAAAGATCTGTGGCAGTGCTTAACTTTGTTTTTTTGTTTAAACCCAACTGTTAGACAGCAGTGCTGTAAACAGGAACTGAGTGCTCGATGCTGGATGTTACTGGGACTTTGTTAAATACAAATGAAGATCCCACTGTTCTGGTTGCATAAAAAATACACTCAGATTTTATGCCTATGGTGGTGTGTTCTTTATAATATGACTTTGAATATGTTTTCAGTGCCTACCCGCAGTGCCTGCCCATGACCTCCAGCACAAATGTCCTCTGGTGGCTGGAAGAAACAGTGAAAGACAAAAAGAATGTCAGAAACAAGAAAAAGTACTCATCAGTTAAACCCAGTGGACTGATCTGTCGAAACAGATCAGTGCAGGAAAAATGACGAAGACACGCTCGCTGGGTGAAGCTTTCACTCTCAACTTTAACCATTTCTAGAGTCTTTGAGGTTTGGACTCTGATGGCAACAGATGGATGTAAAAGTAAAAGTTATCTTGGTTAACTAGCTAACCTACTGTAGTTGGATACCGTGTGCTCTGTCTTGTCTAGTCTTGTCCTCTCTTGTTTTCTTTTTTCTTATCATGTCTTATTTTCTCATTCACTTCTTGTCTTAACGTCTCAAGCCTTGTATTATCTAGTCTTCTTATGTCTTCTCGCGTTCCTTCTTTGTCACATCTCCACTCCGTCTCCTCTCGGGATCTGTTCACCTCTGAGCTGTGGTCATGATGGCGTCCACCACCTCGATGATCCTGTGCAGTGCCGAGTCGGTGCCGATTGTCATGTCGGTGCCGCAGAAGTCATTGTCGATGGAGCCGACCATGCCAACGATGTGGAGCACCGAGTTAGTGCGGGCTGCTTCCTCACTGATCAGACCTGAAAAAACACGAGAGGGACGGAGATGAAGTCTCCTTACACCTGTAAAGCCAGAGTGAAAAGCCCTGCAGTGGGCAATCACCTTGCTGGACGAGCTCATCCAACAGGCCGCTCCACTCCTCTCTGAACAGGTTGGCTCCAGTCAGGCTGCCGTCACCACCAATCACACACAGGTTGGTGATGCCGCGCTCCACAAGGTTGTGTGCGGCTTTCAAGCGGCCCTCGTGGGTACGAAACTCTTTACAGCGGGCGCTGCCGATGACTGTGCCACCCTGAAGGAAACATAAATTACAATCTCAGATCACGTTACTCTATACTTTAAATGCTTTTCTACTGACTCGATTCTGTTGTCTTGAGTGAAAACATACTTTGTTGAAACCGTTCAACAGATCATTATTTTTAAGTCTTGTATACTGATTGTTACAGCAGCTACACAAAAAATTCAGACTCACTGCGATTAAAATCCAGTTTTGTTTGTTAAAATGACAGTAATGAAATATTTCCAGCTGCTCAATGTTTCCATCTTTCAAACTAGTTTCCTCCACGATTACAAAAATGAATCCAAGGATGTGATTGGATTGTTGGATTTCAACTCACTAGGGCAGTGACGACAAAAGTAAAATGTTGTAAATAATTATATTTTGGAGGGTAATATTATTACTGAAATGCATTAATAATTAGTTACACTGGAGATACTATTATTATTACTAGTAATGAGTTACTGCCCAACACTAATTGTTATCATAAAAGAGTATAAAACTGTTACAATATATACCAGTATATATTATAATATTGCTGGTCTGCAAGCCGTTTTTTCACAGTTGCACTGGATGTAATTCACTTAAGACAATGAGAGTCTGACTATGACAAACGGTGAAAAGGTCTAATTCAATCACAGACTCATGTGGCTCGAATCTAAAGGCTGCGCTGAGTCACTTCCAATGATGATCAGACACAGCAGATATTCACACAGCACTGCTGCTCCTCGGTCAGAAAGCATTTACAAATAGCATTTCATGGTGCTAAAATCTGCAGCTGCAACCATAACACAGGATAAAGTCTTTTAATGACAGCTGAATTTGAGAGTTTTGTTGTTTACGGCACAGAAGAGTCAACATGGACAGTTTTATTTCAGTGTGTGTGACCTGAAACCGCAGCAGAAAGCTCCACTCACCACTTGCAACATGCTGGAGACACTTTCCCATGTCGCCTCCTTGATATTGTCTCCACCATCCACCATCCCCTGGTACCCCTGAGAGGAGACACAAGTAAAAAAAAAGTTCAGTGGATCATTTATGACATCTACGTAACCAGTAATTGTGACTATGGGTCACTTAAGTCTCATCCTCAGTGATTATATGTCTAAGCCTGCCACTACCTGCAGTTTTATTATCAATGAATCTGTCAACTTTTTTCAATAATTGATGATTTAGTCTATAAAATGTACACAATCACAATTCCCAGAGACCCAAAAACCAAATATATATTTAGTTTACTATCACATAAGATAATAAAAAGCAGTAAATCCTCACATTTAAGAAGCTGGAACCAGAGTATGTGTCCTTAAAAAAATCATTTACATGATTAATCAAGCATTAAAATAGCTTTCAGTTAATTTTTCTGCTGATCAACTAATTACAATTAGATTATGTTACAAGTTATGCTTTTTCGGATACAAGTTATGCTTTTTCGGTTCCACTATCTTTTACTTGCATTGTATCCAAACCATCAGCCACAGCACAAACCAAAATCAAGGCATCGTGGCACTCAGCTGTCATTACTCACAGCCCAGTGGTTATTCGAGGCTGATGAGGATGACAGTGCAGACAGTGAAGGATGAAGCCTGCCCCTGGTAATCCAATTATACCCACACTGAGAGCAGATCGTCTCTATCTGACCCTGTCACTGCCATCAGTGGCGTCATTTCCATTCAAACCGCAAATATCTCCTCAGACGTTCGATATCGAGCAGCTCTGAGATGTTCTGGAGCCAGGGATTCACTGTTGCTCTTCCTCTCTGAATCTGAATCACTGTAATCCTTAAGTAGTGTAACCAGAGAGTATTTTATTCTATATTAAAGGTTTTTATCACCATGCATTGGTGTAAAGCAAAATGGTCATGCATTGAAGTGAAAGATTCTAATTAGTTGGCTTTATCTTAAATATATGCATTTGAAATTGAATTTACTTTAAACAAGTCAGTGTTAACCATCATATGATTTGTGTTATACATACAGTATCCATGTGAATGCTGCAAATATTTGGCTTACTAGCAGCAGGTTATAAATATAGACGGGCCCTATGGGGAGTGTAAATAGTCTCAGCAATGAGCAGGAAGTACCATTTCACTGTGGGGACAGTGAATAAAACAACCAGCTGAAAACAAGGCCAAGAATCCAAAATGTATATCCACCAAGGAAGGGTGAAAAAGGTTAAGATACTGCCTTCAATTCCATTTAAAGGAGATATCAACAACCGAGACCCCTTTTCTGCAAGTGACAAAGCAGTGTGATATTCCTAACAATAAAATACTGTATTACCAAAAGCACCCATAACAATAAATGGCAGCTTCTGCTGACGATGTGTACAGCACTGTAGACTGCCTTCGAAGGAGAAGACACTTTTCAGATGCACTTAATAATCCAGCGACTGAACTCCTAAACAGCCACTTAAATTCACCTACAACATCCATTTGGTGGCTAACCATGTTGAATGGTGTTTTAACAATCCTCATCTGTTTTAATCGGACCGCTGGCTGTAAAATGTGCTTAAGAACCACAATGAAGTTTGTTTTGCAAAAAAAGAGCTAGTAGCTAGTTTAATATAAAAGTTTTCGATTTTTAGGACGACCCTGATACCTGTCTGCCTTCTTCTTAGTAAACCTAACATTAAATATCTTCTGTGATTGGTGAATTTACACTCCTATTTACATGTACACAACCCTGTATATATACCCTATGATCCTTTTTTGATATAATTGAACAAAGCAGTGAAAAGCGCAAGTAAACAAACAGGTGAAGCAATAATTAAATAAGCAATTTTAATAGCTTGTTTAGGTGTTACTCTAATTTGAACGTATGTGACACTTTATTAAACTTAACTGGACTTAACTTTTTAAGGTCAAATCCACTGAATGCACAACTCTGTTACCAAACAAACATAGGACGATATCAGGTATTTTTCTCAAAGACAGTGGCAGCCCAGGTTGTCAGTACTAATGTGTCTCAGTGAGTGGGACAGGGACTGCAGACTGCAGACGGAGGTCATGTCTGGAGCCGGAGCCTGAGCCGTGCCTCACCTCGTGGATGAAGTAAACCTTTGCTCCCACGTAGATGCCCATTCGGACGACAGCCCGGACCGCCGCATTCATACCTGGAAAAGGACAGAAGAGGGTTAGGGTTGTCATAGAAACAATAAGAAATGGATGGAAACGGATGAACAAAGGATGCATTTACTGCAGGTCTCAGCACCAAGCACTGTAGCAGACAACCTGTGATATTAGTGTGCATCCAAACGTCCAGTGAACTTCAAACTGATTTTCAAAATGTTCTTTAAAAAGTGTAATTTAGGAGTGTTTGTGATACATTAGAAAACAATTTAAAAAAGCTGTTTCTGCTCATTAAAAAAATCACGTTTAATCAACCTTAAATGCAATGCCTAAAACAGTTTGACCTTTCTGGATGTGATGGTGGATATTTCACATCTACATCTACAGACTAGAAAGCTCAGCTCAATTTATATATCTGTAATAAAGGTTTCATCTAACGCATGCATAAAAACATTGAAGCGTTTTGAAGGAAAAATTTGCGAAGCATCCTTCTTCAACTAAATTTTGGTTATATCACCATTTAATAAGGTCAAAACTGACAGAAAGAGAGAGAGAGAAAGATAATATAGTCAACAGAATAACAGCACAGACAGAGAGCAGCAGAAGCCAGACAGACCCGCAGACCACAGGAGAGGTAAAGAGGTCAAAAGAGAGAGAGAGAGAGAGAGAGAGAGAGAGAGACAGACAGACAGAGAGAGGGAACGAGAGTGCCCTTGAGGATCTTGTGCCGAATCACAAAAGCGTCTGTCGGAGCACTTATTGGAATTAGAAAGAGGACAGACCATAAATATGAGACAGTCTGTGAATCAACACGTTGACTGTACAGTTTTATACAAGCACACAAAGGCTGATAACCCTGATTGTACTGACTGATTAAAAGATGTATTTGATGTCTGGGCTCAGAGATGTATCTTGTTGCAGCATCCTGCATGCAGACTGAGAGCTGTGATAAAACTTTAATGAGCCTGATGGAGAAAATGGGTGTGGAAGCACAAAAGAAATTGTCCATCATTCGTTCCCAAAGACCTATACTTCAAGCATCCTGAAGGCTCACTGGGGATCATCCTGCTCATTACAACGACTTCTGTTGTGTGACGCATGCTGATATGAAACGATGGCTGTTATAAGGCAGGAGGCAGATCTTTCTGAGCCCATTCTCCGTATGAGTCCAAGCACTGAGCACAGCAGGCACAAGCTGCCCCTCACAGCCGACAGAGCTCTCTCGGCCAAATGTCCTCCCACGCCACATGCTTTAAACAACCTGGCCCGTTCACCAGGTCCCTGTCTGACGGACAGCGGCAAAACGTAGCCCCCCTCATTCATTTCACTGAGACTGGCGGCGCTGCAGAGAGCTGTGGCAGACCAACACAGGGTCATCTGTCATACCACAATGCAATGCATCCTTCTCCGGCAAGAGGCTGCGATATCCAATCAAATACGTGCAATCACACATTCCTTGTAGATTGCTTTGTAACATGAAGAATGTATTTCTACAACGACAAAGGTTTCTAGATGCTGTCACATTCAAGTTGTGAAAGGGTTTCTTAAGACCCAGGAGGTCGTAAAACTTCCATCTTTTGTCAGTGAACACGCAGCTGATGTGAGTCTGCTCTGAACTTGAGCTGCAAATAACGATTCTTTTCATAATCGATTAATTAGCCGATTATTTTCAGCCCAATACTCAAAGATATACAGTTAAGTTTGCCCAATTTTTAATTTGTCACTTGACTAATCAATTAGTTGTTTGAGGTCTAAAATGGAGTGAAGCCTGTGAGCTAGTTCAGGCAGTCCACTCGAGCTGCGCTGATATACACACATGACAGGCCTCATTCAATAATCACCCTTCCAATCTGGCGGTCTATTTAAACTGCACAATTTCCCACCATGCCGCTGTTGCCCTGCATATTGCTGCCTGCTGCGCTGTAAGCCCCACCACCACCCCAGCATCCACCTGTAGGCTCCGGCAGGGGGGTTAAGGTATTTGCTCATCACTCCCCAATATCTCTATGTAAACATATCTGCGGGGAGTGATGAGGTTGGAGCCTGGACGCCAAAATCTGAATCTGCTGTACTGCTGTAATAAACATTTCAAACCTGAGTTGTCTGACTGAACTGAATTAAAATATCACATCAATCCACTGAAGACTGGATCGTCAGATTTATAACACAAAAGAAAGTAAGTGGAGCTCAGTGTCATCCTGCTCTCTCTTACCTCTCTACCTTAGAATTAAATAAACAGTTCATTTCCATAACTACTGCTTCCTTGAGGCTTCAGTTGTAACATTCAGATGCAGGTTACATGCAGTCTGATGCACAGTGGGGAGTTTGCCCCGCAGTAGAAACACAGTATGCCAGCCTGGATGTGCTTCCAGGCAGCGCTGTACATTAACATGGGCTGATGGGATGAGCTAGTGTTGCTAAGAGACCAGGTCAGCGCTGATTGGTTGGAAGGGATCCGTGCAAACGTGTGAAATGTGTTTTAATGATTTTTAACAAAAAAGGAATGCACCAAATAAATTAGGTGATTCAAACACAACCACACAAATGCCTCTCATGTCTGTGTCTGTGTCCCAGCTGAGCTCTCGCTATAACGAAACGCTATGAGTATTTCTCTCCGGCCGGCTGCAGTGACTAAACATCTCCACTGTGTGTGTGTGTGTGTGTGTGTGTGTGTGTGTGTGTGTGTGTGTGTGTGTGTGTGGTAGGAACATTTTGTGCAAGGTTAATATTGGTGTTCCTATGTTAACAGAAAGTCATGTAAAGTTTGTTGAAATTAAAGAAGGTTGTAAAAGTTTTTGATGAACCGGAATTTACAGGCAGTCGCGGCAAATTTTAACTCGACACCTCGAAAAGTTTTTGAAAAGTCAGAACCTATCGAAGAGTCTGGATCAGACTTTCTTTGTATCTCGGTTGTAAATGAATTATAGATTATAGAATGGGACAGATCTGAGTGAGTCAAAGAAGGTGAACTGAACCAATACCTGTCCCTTACCGTCATAGAGAGGATGGACGTGTAATTCATGAAACAGGGAACCTCTGTCTCTTAATGTCAAACTATACAAACGGACATTTAGCCGTTGATTTTATTGTAATGTCGATTATTAATCAGATTCATGCAAGCACAGATCTATATTCAGAGTATGAACTCATCCACGTGGGCTCATTTTAAGTGTGGTAACAGATTTATACGACTCTGAGCTCTTCGGTGTGTCAGTTACTGCAGAGTTACTCAAAGTTTTCGGCTTTCGCTCTCTTAGAATGAACTGGTATCAACTCAACTCCGTCTGGAGACAGCTTACACTATACAGAAAGAGGACCAATCAGGTGAAGAACAGCCTTCCTTTTCAGCTTCTAAAGAAGACCCAGAGGCTGACGACTAGACAGTTAGTCACAAGAACAAAAGCCAGAACCAACAACAATCCCTGCACCACTTATTGGCATCTCAAGAACTCTTCAATCAAACCTCAGATGCTCCGAGGATGAGAAAACACACTGTTACACATTGTTACTACACAGGCTGGGACTGTGATATGAGGCGCCACCATACTCTGCAGTGAGACTGAGAAACAACATGAACAACACTTCAACAACAGCCTATAGGCGCACAGCGTTATGTAACAGCCTGTAATCCAACAATGGCAAATAGATAAACCATAGAAGGACGATGTGTGTCCGAGTAAAAATAAATGTACTGAGGATATTTTAGGAACATATTATGAGCACTAAAGGTCACACAAATATCCATAAAGTGAGGTTAGATTAATATCAAAGGTATTTTTATTTCTCCTATAATGACAATGTAAAATAATAACAATCTCACTTTAAAGGACAGAATGTGTATTTAATGCATTAATGTCCTTTTCCTTCTCTTCCCCACCACATCACTGCATACTCGCTGCTCCTCACGTAGGCGGCACAACCCTGCGTGACAGGATGAGGTAAAGCAACCCGCACACACACCGGAAACCCACAGAGTCTGCCTTCAAAGTTAAAGCACTGCGGCGCAAACTGAGACATGTGAGCTTTATTGTGAAAGGTTGAGTCATGAGTGAGGGGGTTTTCAGTGTGGATGCATTGATACTGGTCCTCTCACGACTCATCCTCCCTGATGAAAGACACGTGTTTTTACTCGTCTTCTGTCGTATTCTTTCTCCAGAAGTTGACTGGATCACTGTTACTTCACTTTGTACTAATTTACTATTTCTAATCCAAACCCATGAGATTGCTATTTATGAACTTTAAGAAGGCAACTTTTAAATGCTGCACAGACAATTACAGGTCCAATGCAATTCTTATTACATTCAGTGCTGGGATGTGGTTGAAATAATGTAAAATTAACAACATATTTATAAATCAACTTTGAAATATTAACAAAATCTCTAATCTCTTCCAATCAACAATACAACAAAGGCAAGTCAGTAAGACAAACAATAGGTTTGTAATCCTATGATACAGACCTCCAGCAAGGTCTCTGCAAACTGCCCGAGCTCCTATTATAAACATTATAGTAATAACTCATTAGATTATTAGATTATATGTCCTGAGAGCGCCGTGGATGCGCACAGGGACGCAGGCAGCACAGCGCATATAAAATGTAATGGTGCATTATAAGGAAAGGAAACATGTCAGGGGGAGATGTCTTCTGAATTATTCATTGATCGCGATCACTTGTTGATATTAGTGCTGCTTTCCAAAATTAAACCAAACGCACCCATTCCACTGGGACTCTATTATAGCAGGCCCGGATTATCACTGTGGTTGAATGTGGCATTAAAAAGGCTCCATCCGGGAGAAATATTGTAGCATCCATGTACAAATGTGTGACAGGAGTGTGACCGGGAGCGTCAGCTGTTGCGTAACCGCCGTTCAGATTCATTTAACATCCCATAAATAGGAAGGTAGAATCCACATGTATCAGCTGCATCTAAAAAATACCCAACTTTTCCTCTTTTACGCACGGAGACGCAGCCTTTGTTACCCTGCGCCCTTCATTGATTTACTATTGATGTAGCTGTAACGCAAGGGGTCCTTTATCGGACAAGCTTTGCGGCCACACATCCATTATCGGACAGGTGTTTGGCTACAGTGCTCTTCTCCAATTGAAATATGTGCAATTAGCAAACTTCCTCCAGAATATCCCTGTACCAGTGGGGGGGGGCGTCTAATATTTACACTATCAAACCAAAATCAACCCTTTTGTTTTATCTTCATCTGCACTGAGCTGGGTTTAGTTTCCCTGCTGTTTATTTCTGCGGTCACAACCGGTAGCGGGGCATGTCCGATGATGGAACTACGCGACGTTACCTTGGGCATCTCCTCCGCTGGTCAGCACCCCGATGGATTTGCCAGCCCCGGACAGATTCTCGAAGAATTTCCGGGTGTCCTGCCGCTTCGGTGCCACCGCGCCAGCCATGCCTGAGCCCGGGTTCCCTGTCACCTGTCAGAAAGTGTGAACACAACAAAGCAACACAGCGAGCCTCTGACAGCGTCCGAGACTGCACAGATACTGTAGTAGGACTGCAGTGGTCACCGCCCTCAAGCTCCATGTACACACACCCCCACCCTCCTCACCGAAGATCGTGCATTAAAGAAGATGGCTCACTACACGTTTGTGTCTTTTTTTTACTTCCATGGGTAAATTACACAGGGTAGAATTTCATTTCAATTAAAAAAGGTTGATGTGAATTAATAGGGTAAATCCAGGTGTTATCAATGAGACTAATTAAGTTTTAGTTTTTTTTCCATTTAGTGTAGCACAACCTTTGCAGTGAGCCAACATGCACAAAAGCAGCACTCTGACTAGAGGGGGAATTCAAAGGTGGGGGACCGGGGTGGCCACCCCTGAAAGCTAATTGGCCGCCACATTATCCTCACCTCTCCCACATAAGATACAGGTATCATATGAAACTAAAAGACGTACCGCATCCATTGTTATAACCCACGCCGTGCTAGAATAACGCTCCAAAGTCAGGTTCTGGCGATGGAAGAACTGGCCTGGTCATTTTTAAAGGGATCCCATTGACCTCTGACCTCAAGAGGATCTGAATGGGTCATAAGGGCACCCACAAGTCTCCGCTTTGCAGACATGCCCACTTTATGCTGATGCCATGTAGATTTTTGGGGCAAAAAAACCGTGACAAACAATAGGTTTGTAATCCTTTGATACAGACTAGCAAGGTCTCTGCAAACTGCCCGAGCTCCTTTATGTGATGCCATGTAGTTATTTGGGGCAAAACCACAGTAGTAAGAAAACAATAGTTTGTAATCTATGATACAGACCTTCAGCAAGGTCTCTGCAAACTGCCCGAGATTATAAACATTATAGAACTGGCCTGGTCATTTTTAAAGGGCCTGTGACCTTTACCTCCTATTAATGGGTCATAGGGTACCCAAAAGTAGCTGCTGTTGATGAAAATGTCTGTTGACATTTGGGGAAAAAAACAGATGCTTTTGTAATCATATGGTAAAGACCTCCAGCAAGGTCTCTGCAAACTGCCCGAGCCCTTTTTTTTGAGAGTAGATTTTTGGGAAATAAAAGCAAGTCATAAAACAACAATAGGTTTGTAATCCTATGATACAAACCCCCACAAAGGTCTCTCAAAACACCCCCTTTTTTGCTTTTTGGCAAAAAACCACAAAAAAAAAAAAAAAAAAAAAGGTTTTAAATCCAATAAAAAAAACCCCAACAAAGTCTCTCAAAAACCCCCTCCTATCATAAACATGATAGTAATAACGCTATTAGATTATTAGACAGTATGCTATGCCAGTAGAGTTTTGGGGCAAAAATCCCTCACGGTGCATTTTTTTTCATCCAGTATAAATGTGTTATTTCCCTTAGTGTTTTTCATTGGCACTGTGTTTCCCCTATTAATGTAAGATAGCTGCTGTGAAAATAAGGTCAGTTGACATGGGAAACAGATGCTTACATTGGTAAAGAGAGTGGGAAAAAAAAAAAAAAAAAAAAACAAAAAAAAAAAAAAAAAATAATAAAAAAAAAAAAAAAGAAGAAAAAAAAAAAAACCCCCCCCACAACCCAACCAAAAAATACCCTCAATTTTTTCCCCCAAAAAAGAGGAAGGTGGATATAGGAAGGAATAAGGAATACTTAACTCTTAAAATGCATAATAATGTAGCCATCTATTGGCCCACTTTCATTTGCTTTAAATGGGGCATGAATTAAGATAACCCACTTCTCAGAGCACCAGTGAGTATGCGTGCAGATCATTTTAGAAAGAAGCTTAAAATAAAATAGAGAAATGTAGACTTGCTGTTAGAAAAATACTATTACAAATTAAGTGAAAGTGTATTTATTGTTGTGTATGTAAGTATGTGTACAGAGAGCACAGTGCAGGTGTATACTGGGTCCAGTGATTGAACTTAAGATAAAATGATTGTTTTTAGTTCTGGCTATAAAAAGCGAGTTGACTTATATATGTTTTAATGAAAGTAAAGTTAATAACAGAGAATATTTGTAGTGTTTTTCCTCGTTTTCCACCCAGTTGCTGTCACAGATGCAGAGTGAGAGGTCTTCACTTTTTTTCTATCTTTCTTTGACTCTCACGACCTTTCTGAGCCAAAGCCAGAACCTCACAGCCAATCACAGCGGTGTCTTCCTGACTGACAGCTGAATCCACCAATGGGCGTCCAGATCACGTACTGTGGGAATAGACATATTCCAACCAACCGCAACCGACACTGAGTCTTTTCAGCCAGGAAATAATAGACTTCCAGTAACAATTCATACGTTTATTTGAAATACAAACACTAAGAAAGTGTTGTAACAGCATGAACAGTTAACATAATGCAACACAAAGAGATTAGATTATTAGATTAATTATGTAACGCCAGCAACAAAGAACTGGATACAGACACATAAATCTCAGATATTACTAATATATTTCTGGTCCAAAGTCATTTTTAATGTATTTATTATATTCTAAAGTCCTGATATTTGTACTAAACAATTATCATATGATCATTTTAACTCTTTAAACCACAAGTTAGACAGAATTGATGACCTTAACTGAAGTTCATGACCTTGAGCAATCCTTCTGCATGCTGCAGGCTTTATCTCACTGACTGTATCTTTGCCAGCACAGTACGGCATCTCACGCTCCAGCCATCAGTTGTTCTGTTTCGTAACATTCATGACAAAAAAAAAAGCTTTTATTTGAGAGTAAGGAACCGTTGCTGTGCGATTAGATTGGAGGGGCCACGCAGGGGACATCGGGGACTCGAACAGTTTCAAGTTCCTTTCTGCGGGGAAGAGTCTTGGGAAGCCAACGTTATATCATATGTGCTAAGTCCTCCTGACTAAAGACATCTGGCTGCTCCTCACTTCTCCAAATGCAGGCTTAACATCTGAAATGAGGAACTTCTTGAACGCCACATGAGTCTGGGTGTGTCTTTACAAACAGCTACACAACAGTGTTTCTTATCTTACACTGAAGAATCCAAATCTCAGAATCCCTTTTAACTAAATAATAATAATAATAACTTATTGCATTACAGTGAAGGAATGTGACTCCAGTTTAATGTTGCCGTCTACAAATATAAAATAAACATGTGAGGATGTTTAATAAGGAAATGAGGAATAAAGGCGGGCACTTTATCATCCTACACTTCCCATAATGCAACTGAAAGCCATATCTTTATTACACATCTTTTAAACTTCATGTCCACAGTTTGAAACACAGACTTTCTGTGTCGTGTCCAGGGACAAACCGAGATAACCCTGACGACGGCGTAGGGTCAGTGCCGTCCCCTCAGAGTCAACGAGTACAGAAAGAGGTCAGGGGTGTGGGATCAGGTATCATAGGTTAGCTTGGCTTTTAGTATTCACAGACGCCTGGCTGTAGTTCCTTTTTCTCAGATGTACCCCCACAGTCCTGTTTTATGACCGCAGGTTCCCCGTGATCAATACCACCAGTCATGTTCCAAATGTGTGAATTTGAACTGATTTTAAACTGGATGTTATTTAGCATTATAAAGTGGTTTTTAGTAGATTTCTACCAGTTGAACTTAAATGGTTTTGGGGTTTTTTTTGGTTAACTTTGTATTCAGAACCAGTTGTGGCACAAACTGGATGTTTTTGCTATTTTGACCATTTATCCATTACTTTAAGTTTATTATTTAGACTTCTCTTCTCTACAGCTAACTCATTATGTTCATATACCACAATCCTTTCACATACCCCTCTGGCAACTGCTGAAGTACCCCCTGGGGCTTATTAACTGGCATATTAAACATAAACAATATAATATATAAATAAACAGTATATATTTAGACATCCAATGGGTGTGCAGAGATTGCTTCCTAAACAGAATAAATTGCCATTCGGTTCAGACATTAACATTTAAATGGGGGTCTGGAAAAAGAAGATTTTTCTGCTTATATAGAGAATATTAAAAACTAACATAAGAACCCATAATAGTTAATGATATAATATATTCTAACTTAAAATATCCCATGTAAATAGAATATTTAATAACCTTATATTTTGTTTTGGCATTACAGGTTAATTAATAAAAAGTAAAGTACAATATTATATATATTATATATAACTTAACTAACTAACTTAACTTAACTTAATATATATATATATATATATATATATATATATATATATGTGTGTGTGTGTGTGTGTGTGTGTGTGTGTGTGTGTGTGTGTGTGTGTGTGTATAGTAGCAGTATATTTATTATTTCTTTTAGGATTAATAAAGACACTACACTAATAAGATTAATATAAAAATGGATGCAAATGATGGGAACTTTTGAGAAAAAACAACAAATACTGGAATATGATCAGTTGTTATACCTAAAATCCCTGGAAAATGTCGCCCCCTGCTGATCTAAAGCAAGCATTGCACACACAGGGAGAACTAATTTTTTAACATATTACAGTGATGAGACATCATTAGTTTGCAGGTGAATAATAGTCTGTTCATACATTCACTGAGAGGCAGTCAGTGTCTGGGTCCTATAGTGGATGAAATGAGAAGACAGAAGAAGTCCCGCTCAATAAAAATAATTTATTTACAGTGGCATGAATCATAAATTAACGAGCAGCAATTGGCAAAAGCAACATTAGAGTCGACAGCTTGCATAAAGTGGTGTGAACGTCTGGACTTTTGCATAATAAACACACTCACACTCTGAATAAACTGTATGTACTGGACTGTGTCACCGCTGAGATATTTAATACGAACACCAGGGCAGAAAAGATCATTTAAAAAACAATAAAAAATCTCTTGAACTGCAAACAGTGATCTTTAAACGGCTACACTCTTCTTCTGCTTTGACATATTGCTCTGATTTACCATTTTACTGTGGAACACAAATAGTACAACTTATAGCAGATCACAAATTACCAAATCATTGTGTATTCAGCCTTTGAAAATATTCTAAAAAGGGGGCAAAAAGTGTGTTTTATATGTCTCTGTGGAGGTCCAGTAATTTTACTCTGTGATTATTTGAATTATTATGAGCTTTCTGTCATTAAATCTGACCTGCACTAGCTGTTTTAAACAGTAACTCCCTCCCTACTGTTGTGTAAAGAAACATTTCAGCTATAAAGGCGCTATATCCGCGTCAAGCTACAAAAAGCATGGTGACATATTTGTTCAGCACTAGATGATTAAATATCCTGATGACCTCTGGCCCCGATGCAGAAACATATTTCCTGCACTGCGGTTTTATGCAGACCAGTATCACCAGTGAGATCTTAAAGCCACTAATATAATTCTTACCTTCTATTTAGTATAATAGATTTTTATTTTTAATACACATTCAATCAGTGTAAGATGTGTTTGAAGTTTTGGACCAGAAGTTTAGAATGTTTTATTTAGGGAAAATCTTTTTACGGCTACAAAAAAGAACATTTGAGAGCTTCTTTTGTTAACTTTTGGAACTGAAAGTGAAAAATTCAAAATATACACAGCATTTTTCTCAATATTGAACTTTAGAAGCATTAATGTAAGAAAACGGGTCTTTAATCTTAGTAGTATTATCACTGGTTATGTTATTAATGTCATTTACAGGCCAGCTTGTTAAAATACACTGACGTTACTGCAGGTCACCGACAGAGACCAGCAGAGGTCAAAGATGACTTAATGCCCCTTTAAAAACACTGCGTTAAACGGTGCAACAGTACCGTGAAACTACAGACCAACTCATTTGCCGAATGTTTTTGATGTTAACACAGAATTTCTGTAATTTCCATGAGTTCACACACAAGTTAACACATATTGTTCTGCGTCACTTCTGGGGGGAAAAAAATATCAAAATCCTGGTTGTCTAATTAATCATTACACCTACAGTATGAAGTGGTAAAACACTCACTCAGCAGTATGTGACACATATAATACACCTGTAAACCTTACAGTTATACACCAGACAGAGAATCACAGATCTAAGGCATTATGCTTTGTCTTTAGCATCTTAAGGTACTTACATGAATTACAGTATTTTGCAATTGGTAAAATATCCATCTATGGATTAAGAAAAAAAAATCTTCAATATACATATACTGTATAAGTCAAAATCAAGAGAAAATAATTCACCTTCATCTAAAACATTAGGAGTTACTGTACATGAGCGTTTACACCCGCTCTTGATTGCCTTAAACCTTAAAGAGTTTGACATTCAGGACATTTGCATGGCTTACATTTTCTCTTCGAGGTTTTACAATAATTTACTGTCACTGAAAGCTGAAGGAAAAAACGGGACATTTTCTAAGATAATAATAATAATAATAATAATAATAATAATAATAATGTTTTCAGTGTTTCTTTTTGCAGTCAGTGTGCATTTTCACATTCTTCTTTTGGGAAGAAAAGTAATCATTGTTACAGTGTGTGCTTTACACATTTTCTGGGCCATCTAACCAAGCAGAGAGATTCAACACATCCAAATTGCCAGTTTACAGTCAGTCACAATTACAAGCTTATGTATGAGACAGCACCTAATGAATAGATAGAGCACCTTAAATAAAATACTCGAGGTCCAGTCTGTATTAAGATTCATATAACTTTGGACTGTAAAGGTTCTGGGTTGCCTGCTCTTCTTTGTGAAATAGAAAGCTTAAATTTAGGAATATTATTTATAAGGTCAGACTTTAACCGTGGCGCAAAACTTAACACCCTCCTGAGACTGGTTTTAATTTGTGTTCATCATTAGTACATAGAGTAGGTAGAGACAGCTTCACCCACAGAAAGACCCAAAACAACAACCACGACAACAAACAACACACGTCTGAATTGTCCTTCAGCAGAGGGGACAGAGAGCGAAACGCCTGTAACGTGAGAGCGACTCCTGCAGGCCAGAACATCGCAACCACAAAGTGTCATTTCAAAATGAATCGCAGTAGCATGACGTTTTATTATTTATAGTTTTTTTTTCTTTTTCTTAGAGGCAAAGCTGCTTTGCAGGCAGAAATATTTTCATTGGTCAAATCTCAGTGGGCGGACAGTCGGACATTGCGCCAGTGTTAGCATGCCGAACTAACTGACATTGCCATCCCGCCACAGCAAGCAAGCAAGAGCTAAACGCTAGGAAAGGAAATATTATGAACCGTAGCATTTAGCTTCAGACAAAGTAGACAAATATTTTTCAATTTCAAAATAGCTCTAGCAAACCGCTATTTCACAAGCAGAGCATGGAAAAATACATTTTATTTCAATCATAACCTTCAAATAAGCCCGTTAACTTACTGGCACTCTTGTTGTATTGTTGTTATTTATCTGCAACGCACTGAGGTTTAATTCAACCAATGAAATATTTCTGCTGAGAATTGTTTGTTGGACTAAAACTCCAAACTGCTATTTTGCAATATCACTTTTGGGAAAAGGGGTATTATAAATCTAAGTATGTACACTATCTATACACGGTCACCTTCATTCAAAAAGTCATTAAATAGGGATACAGCTTCCCCGTAACTACAGCAGTTGAAATATATTAATTTTAAAATCGACATCAAAATGTACCATTTTGAGAGATTTTCTGAAAGAAAGATATTCTTGATTTTTTTGTGTGTCATACAAAGAATCTCTAAAACTTCTTCAAAACTATAAATACCTGTAAAATATTTTCCATACACCTTCTCATTTGACGTTTTCAGTCAGGCTCTAAAACTGAACCATAAAAGATCAAATCCAGAGGTTTTCGTTTATGCTCGTCAAACCATTCACTTCTCCAGTGTCAAAACTGCGACGTCATTTCAGTTTCACACTCAAACACTCACAAAAGATTTACCCGATCGCAAAATACACTGCTTCAGAGACTTGAGAGGATGACAGTTTTCAGTGGGAATACATTCATCTGACCAGAGAACATACTACCAGCAAACACTGCGTGGGTCCTTGTACAGAAACCTGGGACTAATAACCATTATTTTACACTTGCATTTGTCTAAAAGGTGTTGAGTGTAGTATTTTATGCTTTACCATCATGCAGTTTGTTTTGATTTTGAGGCGGTATGTATGCGGTTAATAAACATGTAAAGTAAAATGGTTGCTGGTGTTTTGTTCTATCCAACTCCAGCCAAGTTAAGGCTGCTAGAGGTTAACCATCCTCCATTTGTTGATAGTAATAATTCTTTTAATGTCTCAAAATTTTAACTTTATTCCACAGTGTCCAAAGATACTGCGCCAGATACATCCAGACACAATTTTAGCTGCTACCTCCATTTTAATTTAAGAGAAAATCTGACTTTAAGATGTAAATATGATTCTGATTTTTATGTTAAAATGCTGCACAACAAAACCTTTATCGTGTTTGTGATTCTATGTGGTTCAACAGTAAACCGTTTTGTGAACAAGTTCTGGTGTTTACAGTGTACGTGTTTGAGAATGTGTGTACTAGAGTACAATATTTGTATTTTGTACGTTAAATCTTCAAACAGTGGGCAGCGCCTTTATTTACCTAAAGGCGTCTCCCTGTTTCCTGTTCTACAGTATATTCGTTTGCTTTTAATGAAAACTCAACACTTCCTATGAAGTCAGTTCAGGGTAAATAATCCATCCATTACTTGAAATATCTTTATCGTAAATCATCTTCTGTACGTGTAGAGTTTCACTAACAGCAGCTTCACGTCAAGAAAGCTCAACAAAGTGGGCTTCAATCTATGAGTGAAAACAGCATTTCTTTTAAAGAGTGGAGATTATAGAGCATGATTAAATTGTACTGATGAAAATAATTCTGTGGAAATGTAGATTATGTTGAATGTATCCGGCACACTGTTACAGTAAAGCTACCGTTCATTTTTTAGCAGCCTTAATTTGATTGTTTGAACATGATGTACAGTATACAGATAAATATGAGCTGTATTCAATTATTGAGGATCGAAACATTACCTACAGTAAATAGCTAAAATACAAGGTTTCCCACAAAACCCTGAATCAGCAGTGAAACAATATTCTTGTATCTTCCTATTGAGCATTTGCTGTCAGGATGGTTCAGATGGCAGTTCCTCTACGAATTCTGACTTTTTGCATAAAATGTTAACTCAGCGTGAAGTAAGCCACACTGACATGAATGCAGTTCAGAAGGTTTTTACATGTCTTGGTTGTCCTCTCTCTTTAGTGCCTCTGAGCTGGCTGGTGTCACAGAGTGAGCAGTGTTTCAATCATGTGTCCTCAACTCCTTGATGCTTCTCCAAGAGCTGAGCTGAACTGAGCTGAGCTGAGCCGAGCAGGCGTCAAGTGTTTCTTTGCGCGGGCTCCTGTGTTACCTTGTCTCAACCGCAGCCGGGGTCAGCAGAAATTCTAATAAAGACAGAAAAATTGGAATCACATTAATCATCAAGGGAAATTAAAAAAAGACGATAACTCACTGGGCTGAAATGATATCCTTTCATTTATAATATATACCTTTGTCACATTTCTAATCACAAGAACCTGCTTCAAGAGATTTCCTACACTCTCATGTATTTGTTCTAAAGTGTCTCAATGTGCAGACTGGAAAACCAAACTTCCTTTTAGAGGGTAACAACGCATTTATCTTGTGAAAAGGAACTTTTGTATAACTATGGGAAGTAGTATAAAAGAATGACAAAGTTCTGGTAAGCCTCAGCTACCCAAGCCCTGACCCATGGCAGCAATAGAGAAGTTACTCATGTTTTTAATCTGAGATGATGCGTCTGTGCACGTGTGCATCCTCAGCTGTTAGTGGGCCAGGAAGCTGAAGCAAATTTTACTTAAAAGGCACGAAACATTTAACAATTATAAATGATTTACTGTAGTATCATTGGTGTAGTGGCAATGGGAGTTGTAACATGTACACAGGGAACTAATGTGGGCCTAAAATTGAGCCCTGAGGTACACCAAATTTACAATCGCTTGAGGACAACAGGTGCAGGGAACACGGCAGCAAATGAAACAAAATGTTTTGTTTGAGAGTCATCATAAGGACGATCGCAAGGTGATCCTGACAGGTTTGTCTTGTGGTAAATACGTCAAGCATATAATATAGAAACGACAATGCACATCACAGAGCAGTCATTTTTGTCTCTAGTTTTGTTTTAGTTTTTATTTAGTTTTAACAGTAGATGAAAAACAAATAACATCTCTAAATATAAGCTTCCATTTACCTCTACTGACTTATTAGTGTCATTGCCTTGCACATTACACATTACCTTATATGTTATTAACATCATAACATACAAGGTAATGTGTACGAAGACAACAATCTTTTACTTACAGAACTGGCTTCACCCTCTTGTGTCAACATGTCAATTCCCGCCAGCTGCCCCAGGATCAGACTGCTGTCACTCACCTGATGATGAGGAAAACACAATAAATATAAATCAAATTGCAAAAATGAAACTGAATCATGGCCTCCAATAAGTGTATGTATAGACATGAAACAGTAAATAGCTGGCAGCTGACCTGAAATTGTGAAATATCTCACCTGCTCTGTATTCATGGAGCTCATCTGTCCTGACATCTGGTTCATGTTGCCGCCATTGCTGCCCATCACACCCAGGTTCATGTTGCTGTTGCTGTTGTACATTCCTCCGTTGGGTTGTGTGGAGTATTGTGACTGGGACTGTTGGGGGTACACGCTGGAAGGAGGCAAGCTGAGTCAAAGATCATGTAAAATATTTCCAAAAAGACTCAAATCATGTTCACATTGAATCTTCTGAATTTGTTATTCTGTTGTTACCTGTTGCTGGTGGAGATGTTGGCAGGTTGAGGCCATCCGTTGTGGTCGGTGCTCGCCTGGTAGCCCGGTGCTCCTCCCTGGGGCTGGGTTTGGCCCTGGTTCTGCTGCAGCATGGAGCTTTGACCCTGCCCCATCCTGGGGGACAGCAAGGGGCTCTGCGGGGTCGCAGCCCCACATGGAAAGCCTGACACTGGGTCCTGGTGCTGCTGCTGCTGCTGCTGGCTCATTCCTGCAGATTGGAGTGGACAGAAGGGGTCATAATCAGCATGGACAGCTATGATAACGAGGGTGGAAATCAACTAATAGTGTTTATTTCTAGTTAGTACATTACTCTACTTCTACTCTACTCTAAAATGTACTTACATACAAGGAATACTTAATTTATTTGGGGGTCTTACAAAACTTAATACAGAGAAGAAAAATGGGAACGATCTTGCCTCTAATGTCAGTACTGACATTTGAAAAATCTTCTAAATCTTTTCATATCCAGTTATTCTTTAAGGTGACCCTACAATTGAAAGTAACCAATAACTTGAAGATAACAAGTTAAATATCCACCAGGCAGCCAGCGAGTCCATCTAACTAACTGAACTCTCTGAAGCCCCAGACTATTGTATAAAATCCTCACTTCAGAAACTAATAGTCTGAAAAGTTCCAGAAGAACCCTTCCTTTTTTTGTCAAATGAGTGCATTCACAACAAACTTAAAACACTGACAAAAGGCACATGAAGTCAAAAAATAAAATAAAAGAGAAGGAAAGATAAGATTTCCGTTCACCAGAGCCACCACCCGAGACATTCCCTACAAAATGTAGTCTCCTGATTGGTTTATGACAGGGTTAAAAGCACAGACAAAGTGTTAATCGGAGAGTTAAAAGCAGAAACGAGCACAACATTTACATCATGCAACCTTCAATCACACCCAGTCAACTTAAAAAAGGACTTCAAATCATTACACCAGTCTGAACAAAGATGATTATGTTTGATTACCGCCACCACAACAGGACAAGCGACTATAGAGCCGATGAAGCACACACAGACTACTGTGACGCCGCTGCTGTGCTCTAATCATATACCTGAACTGCTGAACTGGAAGGCACTGTGCTGAGATGGCGGACTCATTACCCCGCTGTACTGCCCGCCTACATTTCCCATCATGCCCTGGCTAGCCAGATGATGGCTGGGGGAGAGAGGGGAGGAGAAGGGGCTGGAGGAGCCGGGATGAGGAGGAGGAGAGGGCAGGCCGGTACCGTAGCTGGAAGCCGGGTAGGGGAACTGCTGCGGGTTGCCCTGCGGGAGCCGCGGGTTGGTGCCGCCCATGGGCATCGGCGTAGGAGCGGCGCCCCCGCTGGGCATGTTAGGTGGCATGTTGATGCCCTGATTCCGCATCATCATGGCACGCTGCTGGTGCATGTGTTGCTGCTGCTGTTGGCGTTGGCGTAGGTGGTTGCTGAGGTACTCGCGCTGACGCTGGGCCAGCATCTGGGCGTTGAGGGCTCCCTGCAGGAGGACAAACAGTGAGGTGACACTTAGATTAAATGAAATTGGATGTAAACAAGACTCTACAGAAGGATATACTAAGACTTAACCCTTTTTGCATTGTTGTTCTTGTATTATGGTTTACTGTATATTGTGTACAGGAATCATTTTTGTGTTTTTGTTACTTTTGTTTTTTGTCATCATCTGAAGTTTGATTATTACTCTGACTCTATCTCCTGACAGTGAAAAGTCTAGTTTCTAAAAGTTTAGAAAATGCAATTTTCCTTGAAAATGGCTGGAAGGAAACAATCAACCTAATAACAAACTAGTTGCATCCAGCAAGAGTCATTGATCTCACACTAATTCACTACCTATTTCCTCAACCTAGGACCATTAAAAAAAGGTTTCTTTCAGCAGTGATTTTCACCAAAAATTAGTACTTTGGTATTTTTTAGGATTCTGGCAGTGGTATATAGCCGTTTTTATTTTTAGCGTATAGGTTCACAGTGGCTTATTCTACTGTCGGGGGCACATGGAATATAAAAATATCATCATGTCATCATGTATATACTGAAGACTTTGCTATAGGGTTTTCTTGGCCCCACAAAAGGATACAATATGTGAAGTTATTGTGCAAACTGCAACATAAAAACAGAATTTAAAAATCCTTTTCAAAACTAAACAGTTTTTATCAACACTACCTCTTCTCAAAGGTTCTAGCGCTAAGAAATAAATGAGTTACAGCAGGGTTTTCAGCTGTGCAACGGTATGACGGTATTAAAAAATTATATTCATATCATGTGGGAAATTGAAACCTGTGTACCAGTTCATCCGGTATGTCCACCACCACTTGATCTGAATAGTGTTAACAAGTGAGGTGGAATAAGAGAGAGAGAGAGAGAGAGAGAGAGAGAGAGAGAGAGAGAGAGAGAGAGAGAGAGAGAGAGAGAGAGGAATATTAATACATACATATAGACTGACCTGGTTTGGTACATTGGATCTTAGAGGTAGATTCATATTGGACACTGCACTCATCTGGTTCACCATCGGCTGGCGGTTCTATGTGGGGAGGGGATAGATAGAGTGCTTTATTAATGTCAGTGGAAAATGACAGGAGACAGCAACAACCACTCAGACATAAAACATACATTTAGCTTCAAAACATCACCTTGACATGTCAGTCCCCATTTTTTATAGGGTGTAATAATGTCTCCTCCACAAAGCTTGTATGTGAGTGCTGCTTAAAGCCAGTCACTGTGTATTCCACTTCTCAAGCACTAAGACTGTTGTCTGGGACTCCTGTGGGGCCACCAATGCTAAAAATGTTTGCAATAATACTGAATAAAACCATTGCAAATTTGGTAACACACCTGCCATCACACGGTTTATTTTCAAGAAATCCTGGATGCTGAACTCTGACATGTCGAGCATTTATTTCAGCGTTAAAACCTTCAGCTGATTGCCTCATTTATGTGTTTACAGAGAGAATTTGGAGTCACTGTTTCCCCACTGGCACCAATAGAAAGGTAAAGATGGATGTGCAAGAGTCGTGTCTCACATCTCAACACGCTGTTAAAGCGTCAGGGCTATTTTAGTTGATTTACACAAGCTGTTTTCCCTCATCTCTCCACCAGGTGGCACTTTAGATATGTTGTAGACTGTAGAATATGTTGTTATCAAATATGTAAATATGGATGTTTAGAGTAAGAGGTAAGTCTTATGTGCTGAATTATATTACAAAATATTAAATTTAGGGATTAATCCTCCCATAAAGCTCCATAAAAACAAGAAAGGGAAGAAATGTAAAGAGAAACTAAATATATGTATTAATTCAAATTGACTTGGAAATGAATGCAGCATTAGAACATAAAGGTATTGTACACACAGTCTCAAAGAGGAACATTATGAGGCTCTTGAAAGAGATGTGATAACAACAGGTCAAGCACACAGGGTACAGTCTGTGTATGCAATTATCCTTATGAGTGAGCGTATGAATTTGTGTGTGTGTGTATGTACATGTCATGTGTGTTCATTGTTAAGTGTCTCAGCAGCAGGGAATTGCTGATGAAGGCAGAAAGCTCAAACACATTTGTTCCTTTCTGCCTGCTGCTGTTTAAACTCACTGAACCCTGTTGGCATCACAGCCTGTTCTGTTGCATCACATGTAATAAGAAGAAAGAGCAAAAAAGAGCAAAAAGAGACTGTATAATAAGACAACCTTGTCTTTTTCATGGTAATGAGACTCTGCACTTGAATAAGGATGAAACAAAGACTCAAGGTGTGTCAAGATCTTTTCTAAAAATGTTTGTATTCACAGGGAGCAAGAGACAAAATGGTAATGATTTTATTCAGGTCTTAATAAGGGAAGGGCCTCACTATGCTTATACAGTATGATTTATTATATATAATTGACTGATTTACATCTGATAATGTAGCTGCATGTGTTTTTAGACCTTATATAACGTTTCCATCAGGGTGCGTTTGGCTGGTAGATGGCAAGTTATAATTTTACAGCAGCCTGGTGCTGAAATGTTTGTGGCAGGGACGCAGTGGAAGTTAAAACCTACAGAAATGCAGTTTTCCACCTAACAGATATGAACCTAAAGAAAGCCCATTAACTATTCTGTTTACCAAAATGTAATAACATGTATTAGATGTTGTCATGAGCAGGGAAATCTCAACAGAGGCAGAGTTGAATCAAAAGCAGAGTTTTCCTCTTCGTATCCATTTTGCCATTAAGGACAGTAGCCACAACTAATAGTAGCAACTGCACAAGTGGTCACTTTGTCACCAAGCATCCAGCACCACCTACAGTACTGTGAACTGTGACACATTTAATATCAGAATAGTGATACAAACTATTTGGTGCCACCTACCAGCTGGGATTGGAGTCTGTGCTGCAGCTGGAGCCTCAGGTTGTTGGGTTGAGGTGGCACTCCCGGATTAGGCCCGCCTGGCCTCATCCCGGCCGGTCTGGGCCCCGCGCTCCCGGGCATCCTCATCATTGGGGGGTAACCAGCGGGCGGCATCCTCTGCGGCCCCATGTGGCCGCTCATAGAGGGGCCGTGGAAGCCACCGTCGGGAGGCATGCCGCCATAACCTGGCTGGCCACCGTACTGACTGTACAGGAGAGGCTTCATGTTGGCCGCTGGGTCCGAGGAGCCGAGGTACTGGTCCTGGTCTGACAGAGGACCCTGCAGGGAAGGAAGAACATTTCTCCTTGTTTTCTGTGTATCTTCAGTATTAACTGCAGACTTGCATCTCATAAAATGTTTTATTTTTCAGGTCAAATAGATAAATGTTATGTACTATATATACCAGTAATACTAATCTTAATTTGACTGTTCTTTTCATTTACATTATTTTAAATATTTAAAATAATAAAAACAATAAAACATTATATAAAGCATGATTAAAACTGGGAAACTCATCCATTAGAATAATTCTTTGTCAAAGATTCTTCGGCTCAGTTTAAAGAGGCTCACCTGTCCAGCCAGCGTCGGGATTCCCAACATCTTGTCGATCTCCTCCAGACCCTCGTAGTCCTTTAACACTGAGCACAGCTGGCTCAGCAGAGCTCCTTCATCTGGCTGGCCCTCAGGCCCTGTACCGCAGCACCCCATCCCGTCCCCGTACGGTGGCCTGCAAGGTAAATTGGTATTAATGTCACACCAGACGAAACCCATACTTGGACCCTAGAACGGCTGCTCTTGTCTAACCTCTGATGGATGACTCCTCCTTTATGCTTTACGATGGAATGAATGCCATACCTGCTTTGGTTTCCATAGTGATCCATTATCATTCGGTCTGGCCACGGTGCAGTCTGATTGGGCGGAGCTTGTTGCTGAGGGTAGGCGGGGTTTGCCATCTCCATCTCTGAAGGGAAGAAAAAAAGCAGAAAATGTCAGAAGGAGTCCGGTTTAGATGAGAGCCGGTGTCAGTTTGTGAGTCTTCTCACCGTTGCCCATCATCTGCATGTTGACCATGGGTCTGGATCCAGGCGGGCCTCTTGTGGGCATCGCAGTGTTCATGTTGGGGACCATGCGACCGGGTCCAACACCCTGGCCCATCATTGGCCCTGCAGTACCCCCTATGGGCCCCTGGGGACCCCAGCCCTGCTGCATGGAGCCACGCATTGACCCGTTGCTCATCATGCCTGATTTGGGGAGAACAGAAATAATCAGATTTTGAGATTATTAAGTTATTTTATACTATACAGAATCTTTAAACATTATTTTTCTTAGAAGAAACAAAGAGGTGTATCTGATGCAGATCTACTTTATTCAAGAATTGTGTTTTAATTTTAGAACTTGCATTAAATAAACAGAAACTTTCACTTATTTCGAAATGGAATAAAATTCTTTATAAGAATAATTCAGTAATTAAGACTAATGTAGGACTGAGTATTTTTAGACAGGACCGAGGGGGTACTATTTATTTTCCTGACCTGGATTGGCCATCGCAGCCTGGTTGGCCATGCCTGCGTGGGTTCCCATCATGCCTTGCTGCTGTTGCTGCTGCAGTAAAGAGTAGGGGCCGTTGTTCCTGTGCTGAGGAGGAAATGGCCTGCCAGCGTTGGGGTTGGGGCCCATATTGCCATCCAGAGACGCGCTCCGGACAGGAGGAGCACCTCGACCCAGTTGCCCCGGCCTGGCACTATTAAAGCCTGCTGGGTGGAAGGCAAGATTTTTCTTTTTATATTTGTTATTTACAAGATCACAAGAGCCAGAAATCATCAAATCAAGCCTCCAGACTGACACAAACACACTGTTACAGACATACCTGCAGGGCCGATGGGAGGGAAGGCTCTGTGCTGGGTGGGGGGGCTGCTGCTGCTGCTGCTGTCCGTCATCTGCAGGATGTTGCTGATGATGGTCTGTTTGTCCGCAGAGGAACCAGGCGGCACGGAGGACGAGGCGGACGAAGAGGAGGCTGGTCTTCTGACTTGTGGTTGAACCCCGAACTGCAGCTGCTGGCCGCCACTCTGCAGATTGTCCAGCAGGTCCTCCAACTCACTGGTCTGAGATCAGCCGCAGGAAAAAAAAACAGGATTAGAAGAGAGATAGTAACTTAACCATTATTTGGTGTACAATTTCAACACGTTTTATAAACCCAAATCATTTCACCACTCCCATTTGATCCCTAATTTAAAGCATCCGCAGGATGGTCGTGATCAGAGATAACTTTCTGTTTTACTGCAACAGACAACCTTGAATGAATCTGTTTTTGCCAACGAAGAACCAGAGGAGCTTTCAGTTCAAGTGCACTTCGCTTCAAACTTTGCTTTGAATTCTTTTTAATGTCAATATAAGATATAAAATATGTATGAAAGGTAGAATAAGATATTCTTTGTCTTTGTTTTATTTAATAAAGTTAACATGCAGAAAACAGAATAAATGGAAATAACTGAGAGGTACTATGGGTAACAACAATTCAAAGAAACTTTCACATAATGAAAACATCTGATATTCACTTTTCACTTTTGACATCTTTGAAAGAAACTGAACCCCCCCCCCCCCTCAGTATTACAGTGTAATTTAACCCACACACACACACACACACACACACACACACACACACACACACACACTGACAGGAATGGTTTCCTCCGGCCGTTTGGCTGCTGAATAGAGGAGGAGCTAAAAATAAACTGCCGGCACTAATGAGGTCATGTGTGATGTACAGTAAGACACACAGTCACTGCTCTGTTTAGCCAGAGTGTATACACACGCACACGCACAAACACACACGCACAGTGAACACAGCATGGCCACACATCAAGGGCATCATTTAGACGGCGATGTGAGAAACAAAAATCCAGTTTTTGTTGGACAAGTGAAGAACGATGTTAGCGATGTGGCTAACCTTGGCCTAATGTCTGTTTATGCAGCATATTAAATGTCAACCAATCACAGCATCGCTGTCGGCCTATTTTACAAACATCCAGTGGTTCTCACTTTGTGCCTCAAATAGCTGTGTGTCAGTATATCCATAAAATCAAATATATAGAGGAAACCTTGATCATTTTCACACCAACTTTAGCTTTTACTGCTAGCTCCAGCAGTGTGGCGTCACCTCCGCTGTCAGAGTTCAGTACAGTGATATTGGTATATCATGTCTGATTCATCAGCTAACAGGTAGCAAGACTGAAATTTGCTGGCAGATTAAAAAACGGAATTTGCTTTAAAAAACAAACAAACTGGGGACAACAAACGTTTGCTAACTGTGTTGTAGTTTCCCACAGCTGCCACTAGATGTTAGTAAAAACCCACACGTTAGTGGTTGCACCTGTAAGTCTTACTAGGATATGACACCAGACCTGTGAATGCAACACTGCGCAGACAGAGGCCATTCTTTTCAGTGGACATTGCTGCTGCTCTCTCCTAAGCAACCACCACCATAGGGTTGGGCACTGCCCTGATTTCCCTGCCAGAATTAGAGGCCAAAGCTCAACTGCTCAGTCTCCTCCAAGACAGGAGGAAAATTCTAATGTGTTCATCTCTCTGCACTTCTGTACACACCAATGTTTTAATTATTATTTTACTCTAATTTAATTGTGTGCTAATTTAATCACTTGCAATTGTTCAGAAAATGTGTTGAATAAAGGTTCATCTGATTTGTGCATGCACATGAAAACACAAACACATCATCGACATTCTGTTCAACAGGTACTTTGTTCTTTGCTTTGTCTTTCTGTTCTTCCCGTTCTGCTCCTTGTTCTGGTAATGTGCAATATAATCTCAACAGCTTTTACCTAAAGCACGTTCCCCTGCACCAACAAAACCAGCTCAACAAAGCATCACCTTTACTCTGCAAGCTACAAACCAAGCCATCCAGGCTGGGAGCCTCTGAACGGCTGCCTCCCCTCCGGCACAGCCTCCGCTGTCCGGAGGCACAGCTGCTGGCGGGAGCGTCGCCTTTGTCTCTGAGGATGTCACACTTTTGAACCCCCGTCGTCCGCCTTCTTTCCCTTCCTGGAACTAACTCCAGCTACGTCACTGCACTTTCATTTTAAATAAGCATGAGAAAACTGCAAAGTGGCTGCCCTTTAACTGCAAGAAAGTGTAAAATACTGGTTCCACAGAAACCGTCTCAGTTTACCACTCAATATCCAAATGTATATGTCATTATCATTACATGAATATTAATCCTTAGTAGACGCGTGTATTTACCAACGCTGGGCATGGTCCGACCCATAGGGAGGACAGCTGTGAACCTGCGTCTTCTAAGGTAACGAAGACACAACAATTCTCATTTTCAGGTGATTATACAGTAATAAAAACATAGTTATGAGTATTTTATTGAATTTCTGCCAATAGATCTTCCTAAATGCTACACATTGGACCTTTAAGCCTGGAGTTTCCACATGGACAATTCTTTCAACCCTTTTTCTTCAGCAGAAAATAGCTTGATTAAAACTTGTTTACAGAACCAGATTATCCAGAGTAACCATTGGGTTGGAAGGAATATTTCAGAACCTGGACAAATCAAACCAACCACTGGAGGTAAATAAAACATATCTGATCCTTTATAATTGGCACTTTGCTTCATTAAATCATTCATTGACGAGCAAAATTGCAGGTGAATAATGTTCTGCCAATCCACTGACAGATTAATCATTACAGCACTACTCATGAATATTACTGTCAACAACACTGACCTGGTCCGCCATGTTGAAACCCGCCTCCTGTTTCTCTATCTTAACGTTGGACAGCTTCGGGCCCTCACCAGGTTCCATCTTGATGGCTTTATCAAGAATGCCGTTATCATCCCTGTCCAACAGATAGCGAAGCAACGCATTGTCCTTCTTTTTGGGGCTCCCTGGCTCCTGTTTGGTGCAGAGTTCACCTAGTGTGGCCATGTTGTCCCCTGAGGCTGACTCTGGACCAATTGGATCTTTTCCGGTAGCCTCAGCCGTTAGCTTGGCCAGCTCCACAGGCGAGGTGCTGTTCTGCAGTAACCTGTGGAGGATTTTGTGTTTCTCCTTCAGCGAGGTGGAGTGGTTGTTATGCCCGGCCCCACCCACACCCCCATTCCCACCTAGCTGGTCCTTACAGTCCTGGTCGTCCCCCAGGGACTGCGGTGGTGAGCAGGGATCAGAGGGTTCTAATTTGGTGGTGAGGAGCTGGAGCAGCTTAGTGTGCCCTCTTGAGTTCAGAAGGTGATTTGGGTTGTCACCAAGCTCCCCGAAGCTGTCAGGGTCACCGTCTCTCCCCTCCTCTTGCTCACCTTCCTGGTTTTGTGATGACAACAAGTCTTGCTGGTCCCCAAAAGTTCCAAATAAGTCCGCTTCTAAGCTGGGATTGTTCTTAGCTAGTTGGCTACCAGCGCTGCTGCTGTGAAAGGGGCTCTGAAGACCAACTGGCTTTTTGTCAGGTGACTCTGGATGCTGCCCCTCGGTGAGTCCCTGTGAAACTCTGTGGCCCTGGGTTAGGGCCTGCAGTGCACTGAGGGAGTTGAACCCTTGGCTATTTCCTGTGCTGCTACACACAGATGCTGGCGAGTGGAGGCCGGCTGCAGGAGAGAAAGAACCAGGGGGATGTTGGGCAAGGTGAGGGCTACTACAGCTGCTGCTGCTGGCCGCCATGCTGGGGCTCTGGCGATGACGAGGAGACAACATGCCACCCTGGGCCCCTGAGGTGACGCTGGGGCTCCCTTGGGCCGAAGGGCTGCCCAGCCTGAGTGAGTGGCTGTTTCCCTGAGGCGTGGGTGCCCGACCCGATACAGCCCCCAAACCACGTCCAGGGGCGCCGGAGGCCGTGGTGGAGTGGTGTGTGTTGCTGGTGACACTAGCATCAGGGGAAGTGGTGGGACCACTCACACTGGTTGGGGTCATTGGCTTGGCCAAGCCCTGGTCTGCGGTCATGCCACCACCCATGTTCTCCCTGGGAGGAAAATAAACTTATGAGATTATGTGTGAATATGTTTAGAGATATGCATTGTTTATTAGGATCTCCATTAGCTACAGCATTACAGCCGCTACTCTTCCTGTGGTCCACAGAAAGCTTTACATTGTGACAATGCACCATAGCAACTTACATCATAACACATAACAAAGGTGGTTAGTTAATGTTCCCTAAAGTAAATTAGGCTTGACAAAACAATACAGAATATGTGTGCGATAAAACCTGCAAGCTGCTTGTTCCATAACTGTAATAGGGATGACGTGGAGCAATCTTAGGTGAATCAGAATTCATTACAATCATGGAAGATCTCAAAGGTCATATTGTAACTGAAATACATTTATACATACATACCAGTATCCTTTTTCCTTTTTTTTTAGCTTTACTGAATCTTGTACCATGTTTTTTGTTATGCTGAACCCCCTTTGCTTTCAAATATACTTACATATTTTCTATATTTCTAAAGTGTATTCAAACATTTTATCCGTTTGTCATGTTGATTTTTACCAGAAGAAGACCCGGTAGGACTGAAACGTTGCTCTTTCACTACAAACTCTTACACTAGTTTTGGAACTGTAATCCAGCCTGCACATACTCTTGACTAAAAGCCCCCCTCTTTAACCAAGACCACTTGGCAACAAATGACCATCTGTAATCAAAAAGGAAATACAGTGTCTGCTATTCACTTACTGACCTCTGAGTTACTGCTGCTTGGTTACAACCATAAATGTATCTAAACAGCTCATGGCAGGAAAGTATACTGCAACAGGAAATTCATGGATAAATATATAATGCCATGTTAACACATTTTTCTTTTTTAGAAAACCCTCAAACACCAAGAAAAGCATCTGTCAGATATAAAAGAAGCTGAGATTTGTACCTTGAGTTGTTTCCAGGGTCAATAACTTTCACACTCAATTCCTGGCTAGGTCTAATAATTTATAATAACATTTATATTTAATTTCAACATTTTCATATGTTCCCCTTCAAAAGAAGTGACACAGTTATTAGGAAAACCTGACAGAGTGAAACCAACAGTGATGTTCTAACTGGTGATGACTATTGAAAGTGCATTTTGGAGAGAGGTCTTTCGGCGTCAATCATGTCATAAAGTAGAACAGAGGGCAGTTTTGAAACCCGTGTACACAACTGAGAAAACAGAGTTGTAACGAGGCCTAAAGCTGTAGCAGAGAGACAGCTTTAGACATGGAGCGGCTTCAGCCCCACACCAAACACACAAAGCTCTGATTGTGCTGAGTGCTGGAGCGATAATTTTGACTGTGAAACTTGTGGAAGTAAAAAGGCCAAGTTCTCGCCATTGATCCCCGAATGCTCCGGGTAACAGTCCTGGCATTGTTTCCTGACTGCTGTCCAATTTGTGACTCTGAATGATCATACCAAAGGCTGGTTGCTGGTTTTGCGTCGGCGTTGCGGGAGGGAGGGAGGAAGGGAGGGACGGAGATACTGTAGACTGGACTGACTGGTAGTGCTTGTGTTTTGGTCTATACATGCTGCGGCTGTTCGGAATAAACAGGCTCTTTGTTCTTAATCCACATTGCTGTTTCCCCTCTTTGTACAAACCGAGAGGACCACAAACACTGAGAGCGAACATGTGATGGACGCACAGGTCATCAGGGGAAAGACAAGGAGGGAGATACACCGCCATTAGCAATTTTCTAATCTTGGGTGGCAGCTACACGGCTAAACTATATAACTTGACTCCTCAAACCTTAAGATGTTTTATTGGTGGGGAGGCATAAAGCTTTCTCTGGACTGACTCCCTGCAGGTTTAAGAGAGTTTTTCAGTTCTTGTTGGCAGTGATGATTTATCACCTCTGACTGTACAGACGCTGCTCTCTGTTGCAGATTGGGTTTTAGGCTGAGGCTGAAAATGTGATTTTTTGTTTAAAATCTTGCTGTTTGTACTTCTACTGAACTATAAATGCATCAAAACATAACTCAATATACGCCATTAAAAATATAATGTTGGTTCATTAACTGTTTTCAATAATGTAGTTCATCTGTTTAATAGGTTCAGAGGATGTTTCAGGGGTCTTAAATCCTGCTTCTTACTGTAACTTAACTGAAATAAGAGATTAAGTTCAAACAAGTCTCTTGTCCAGGGAGGCTTTTATCATTTAAGAAATATTGTTAGGCACATAATAGGAAAGAATTACACCCAAAAATGTGTAGAAAACTGATGCAACCTTTTAAAGATGGAATCTGCGACAATATTCACAGATTCCATTATCTTAATTAAGATAAAGTTCATTCATCATTGCACTGACGAGTGCCAGCTCCTAAAGACTGAATACAATGTAGAAGAAAGACAGAGGCAGAGAAAGAGTAGCCGCTACCTCTGTAGGATGTGCAGGGACATGTAGAGCTGTGGTTCGTTGGTGGCTGTAGATCGAACCAGCTTGCTCTTGGTGTGAGCTGAGACGATGGTGCCGTCTGCCAGGGAGAATCTGTACAGAGGGCTGAGCGCATGGCCGATCCTCAACACTGCGAGGAGACAGACGAATACAGAAAATGACACTTCTTACGGGAAATAATCATCATAACATGACTTACAGCTACTGAGAGGGAAAGCTTCCTACAAACTGCTTCCCCAAAAAGAGTCTGTACATAGATTAGTTGACAGCCATGAATTGATTCTTCAAATGAGTTCCAGCCTGCAGGGTGAGCTCTGACTTGTCTTACTCACCTTCTTGCTGGTGTTTCTTTGCGAAGGACATCTCCCCGTCATTCTGCAGGTGAAACCTCTGAATGCACCGGCGGACCAGGTCCTCCCAGCCCGGCTTCATGGACGTGCGGAGCAGACTGGTGTCCAGGGACGTGATCTTACCTGGACAGGCAGAAGACCCGATGTTAACAGATTGTTAATGTTTTGATGCTTGCCTGTATATGGAGCAGTGGGGTGATTACTTAGCAGTGTAACCGCCACTTATGTTCCAGCCCTTACGTCAGCAAGCATCCACCCTGCTGAAGTGTCTTGAAGCAAGGCACTAACTACCTGCGCAAACTTGTTCCTGACCTCATAATGAAAAACTGATTATAAAACAGCTGGGTTTTCAAACAACACCACACTAATTTACACCTATCACCCGATGTAATGGCAGTAGAACCTCCTCCTCCGGTCCTACCTTGAAGGTCCTGACGCGTAGTGAAGCTCTCGTACGTGGGCATCACAGGTCTCTCTTTGACGGGGACTCTTCTTGCCACGCAGATGAGACATGACTGGAAATCTGCATGTTTGGAAAAGTACGGATTAAAATAGTCCTTTTAGCATATGTATAAGAAAAAGAGTTTGGCTGTTAGAACAGCAATATGATTTCAATTGGTGTCTTTTTTCCTTTGGTGGCTACCATCCTGTGTGTGTGTTTGTAGGCGAGTGTGAGCTCATTCTTCCTCTCTTGGGTGGTCTTCTTCCTGCTCCCCACCTGTTATAGCTTCCCTCATTTAAACACAATGCAACAAGTCTGCCTTATTAATCATACTGTCTGTGTTTCTATCTTCATAAAGACAATGCATGCTTCAAAAGGGTCAATTGATAGTGTTTTAAACCTGCAGTAGGCAAAACCTGGATAAACCTATGCAAAAACCTTCCGACTATCTATCTACTTCACAAGCTCAAAGCGCAGCAGCAGGAGTCCCAGTGAAAACAGCCAACAGTCTATGAAATGACCTGTGATTGGCCAAAGCCTCTCGTTACAGGCTGGATCTTCTAAAGTATGAAAACAGAGCTAACATGAGATGCAGAAGTCTGGTTTTCTCTCAGACCACTTTAAGTACAATATGCTGAAAGGTTATTATGGAAGTTTTGCCCAATGATGGCAAGAAAAAGCTGCCTACTTCTGCTTTAAGGGTTAGGGTTAGGGTTAGGGTTACACTAAAGATCTGAAACTCAGACCCGACTTTGACCGCAACCTCATCCAAAATCTAATTTTTAAACTTCGGTCTCACCTCATTCCTATGGAGCCTGGAGTATGCCACTGAATTTTATTTTGTACAATCATAATCAGCTAATAAATTGATTCAATTATGATATTCAGTGATGAAACGAGGCAGACGTTCCCACTATTGCTCATATCAGTGGCGGTAAATGAAAGAAAGTTACTGTGGAGAATATAATTAAAGCTCTAAACCACCCAATATACTGTCTGGTGTTTGACACCAAACTACTACATAAATCACAACCTACACCACAGGTGTCTACTGCGGGACTCCTGTTAACACCTTGAGTCGACTGTACAGCCTCCAAATTTAACCTCAAACTCATGTCTACTACCCACAATACTCTACACGTTTCATCCTGAACAACAACTGCAGCGTCAACATCAATCCCGACCTCAAACTCAACCTCACCCAAACCCTCTTTTCTCACTTTCAACCACAGATACACCATAACCATACTGTAGCGCTGAAATCAAACTCAGTACGGACACCAACCTCAACCTCGCCATCGCTCTCATTCCCAATATCAGCCTGAGCTTTAACATCTGCCTAAATTTCAGTTTCAACTCGCAGCCCTCCGTCTGTCCACCAGACATGCTCCTCCTGTCGGGGGGAGAGATTGGAAGAATATCTGGTTGTCAGACATCTAAAATTAGAGTGCCAGACAGATTCTTTTCCCTAGTGTGTATGTGTGTGATAAGATAAGATGGGAAGATGACAAAGTGCCACACACTAATTAGTCTCTCCCGGTGGAAGGGAGGACAAGTAGAGTGGTGATGAAAAGAGGACAGGACACCAGAGACAGGGAAAGTGGGGATGGAAAAAGTGATGGGAAAAGGACAGAAAGTCAAGACCGAGATGGAATGACAGAGAACGAAGAAAGTAACAGCAAGAAACAACACGTAGGAGTGGAAAGGCAAAAACTGAGAGCACACAGAAACAAATAGAGAGACATGCAAATAACAAAAGAGGAACCAAATCGAGAGAGATTAAAACAAGGAGAGCAAAAGAGAAGGGAACAAAAGAGACAGATAGAGAGGGAAAATGGAAAACACAAGGCTAAATCAGATAAGATTAAAAGCCAAATAAAAGACCAAGAGAGAGATGTAGGGACAGAGAGAAAGAGGAATACAATGAGACAGTAAGAAAGAAATCAAATAAAAAAATAAAGAGAAACAAACAACAAAGACCAAGTGAAAAAAGCCAAAGATTTAATTTAGAGCCAATACCTTCCCCCTCTTCCTTGATAGACTTGGGTTCGGAGACAGCGAAACACTGCATGGTCTCGTACTTCTGCTGTGACGCGTCCTGCTGGTCGGACGCCGGCCGGGCCTCGCCGTCGGCGTGAGGGTTGACCAACATGCGACAGTTGAAGGTGTGACTGTTCCTGTTGGACGAATCACTGCTGCGATGATTGACTGGAAGACAAATAGAGACAACAAAACAAAAAGGGAGACGTGAGAAGCTGTCAGCGTACGCATGCTGAAGGTCCAGTGTGTAGGATTTAGTCACATCTAGCGGTGTAGTTGCAGATTGCAACGCCTTCACCTCACTCTCCTCGGCCTAAATGTTTCACAGTTCTCCAGAACTCTGTGAGGCTGTGGAGACCGAGGTCTTTCAAGGCAAGATTGACATAATGTTGACATTCATTACTCAGCCAAATAAACTTTTAAACAGTTTGTTCAGGTTAATTGAGGAAACTCCCCTCCAGCTAAAGAGTGGTTTGGCTGCGGCGTTAACCTGAGTACACTGTGACTCGCTAACTACAAGAAAAGCTAATACGAGCTACTACCTGCTGGGGAGTAAAAGACAGATATCAGTCAAGCCTATTTGAGCTTGATCTTCTAGCTAAGGAGAATCTTCCCCATTCTTTTTTAATGCTGTGAAATAAACCATAAATACTCATTCATTGCTGGTAAGGGTTAGGGTAACCCAATATGGTGGCTAGGGAACATCTCACATCATCTGAAATGGCTCCTTTATTAGACCACGTTCCAGTTAACTTCCTCGGGTTCTTACCCAGGCTCTTGGGGAGGAGGTTCTTGACGAACTCGTCGTGATCTCCAACATGCAGCACGCTGTAGACGCTGGTGTTCATCAGCTCCTCCTGCTGGTAGCGCAAATACTGGCTAACGTTCTCCGAGACAAACACTATGTTGCCCTCCATGTTGACCACGAAAAAGAAGCCGTCCAGGGCCTGAGGGGTGAGGAAACAGTGGGAGGGCGGAGGAGACAGGGGAAAGGGAATGAAGGGAGGGAACGAGGAGAAGATCAGGAAGGAAGAGGAGAAGAACGAGATTGTTGGAGGTGGAAAGTAGAGAGAGGAGCAGAGAGGAGAAAATGGAAATGTAAAAAAAGAATAATTAGGGCAAGTTTGGAGAGAGGGAAAAGAAAAAGAGAAAGTGAGAGGGAAAGGTGAAAGAAAAGGAGGAAGAAGACAAGGTAGAAGGAGATTAGAGAAAAAAGTTAATGCATAAGGCCAGCAGGAGCGGGGATTGGATGTTAATTAAAGTTCATCTTAACTTTCCACCCAAAGCTGATTAGACTCAATTAATACAAGTGAAAGGGAAAATGTTACTCTTTGTGTTTGGCTACCTGCTAAAAATACTTTATAAAATACAATTCAAAGAGTAACCATTTATTGCCATTTTATATCAGCAAATATGAACTTGATGATTTTTCTCTTTACTTTTTGTTACATGAAGTGTGTGATGTATGCTAAAAACAGCAGGAGACACTTTGTTTACTGTAAACTACAGTAAACAAAGTGTCTCCTTGCAGGAACAAATGCAACAGTTTCGGATCTGTGTGGACAATATCTGTTTCAAACTGTCCACTGCTTTTAAATTAAAACAATTAAAAACAAAGCTCCATAATTATGACAAAAAATACCAAGCAGTAACTTTGCTATTATAATTCAAGGTATTACAGCGAGTGTACAGCGCTGTGTGTGTGTGTGTGATTTCTGTGTGTGTTCTTTCCTTCCTGTCAACTCAGCACCTATATGTACAGACTGTGATTGGCCCTTTAGTCTGGCACATGTCTGCACAAGCCTTCTACAGCACGTCTGCCTGCTTATCATCCGAACGCTGCTGTAGAATGGAATAGAATAGAATATAAAGGGTCTTGGCTTGAATGACACCTCAGCCAGTGTTGCAGCTTGTGGAAGCTATATATAGCCTGTGTGTGTGTGTGTGTGTGTGTGTGTGTGTGTGTTTGTGTGTGTGTTTGTGTGTGTGTGTGTGTTGTGTGTGTGTGTGTGTGTGTGTTTGTGTGGGCAAGCTCCTCCCCTCCTTTTCTAATCTGGCTTTTCAGAAAAGGTATTTATACCTCATTGGGTCCCATGTTATACGTCACCACACACACATGCCCACACACACACATGCCCACACACACACACACACACACACACTAGAGAAGGCTTGATGACGGCATTGCCGCTAACCAGAGGACCTCTTATCTCTCTGCATCACTGTAGAGTGCAATGCCATTTAAAGTAAGAAAGACGAGCTCTAAATGTGCTGCAGACAAAAGACATGCATTAAAAAAAACCTGCAGCCTTGAAGACAGATGACTTTGTTTCATTCGGAGCAAAAACAAGAACTCCCACAATCATTCTCGCATTGCAAAAATAATTAAGGTGCACTGCCCCATTTTGAAACAGAAGAATATTTAATTCAAACTGTTACTTCTTCCCATGTTGTGTCAGTTGTGAAAACAGTTCAATTAAAGGCCGCTGTTGTCAATGGAAATACTCTGAATAATCACTCTTGGTGTCATCATTGCACCTCCAGCTAATGTTCTGTTTTGTGTCGCAATCGCTTTGACCTTTAGACTCTTTTTTTTCCCTCGGAGCGTGATAACAGAGTCAGACTAAAGTTGGCCTGAACCTACCTCCAGCATCATGGGCCCAAGGGCGTCTTTATCAATGACACCCTGTCCTGTGGAGGAGACGTCGGCCTTCTGCACCTCCTCAGCATCAGCCACCGGAGCTTTTTCTGCAAAAGACGAGAACGAGAGACGTGAAAAGGTTTTTCCCGGGTTCTTGCAAACTTTCGTTGGACGTTTTTTAACAGGAATTTCCATCCTATTGCTGAGAACTGAAGAAAAAAAAGAACTTCAAAGTGTGTATTGTATTAATGTATTTCAAAGGAATTTAGTGAATGCATGACTCATTGAAGTTATGAAGAGGAGGGTAAGTTAAAAGTTAAAAAGTCAAAAGGAGGGGTTGGTATCAAATGAAGTAACAGACTGTATGTTTAATACCACAGTTTGTTTTCTTGGAAGAAAAACACAGTTTGTCAGAATGAAGCTTTTTCTTTAGTATTTTCTTTTCCCAGAAAACACAGAGAGAGTTTTTTGTGGTATCATCACCCCTCGGGCCAGCAGACGCCCTCTCATACACTCACTGGCGAGTCCTTCACTCACCCTAAGTTACACCTTCTGCTAGTATGACCCAGGGCCTCCGTCATTGAGAGGACGCACTGTCAAGCCCGCAGGTTTGAGTTCCTGGAATGTCACGGAGAGCAGGTATCGCCACGCTAATGTGCGGTACATTACACACATTTAGACATATTAGAGCCCAGTCTCCACTCTCCTCCCTCGCTGTACCAGTGGACTGTTAAGCCTCCCATGGCCCCATTAGGCCACATAGCTGACATTCCTGTTGTGGGACCAGAGCTGTACAGAGTCATCAGCCCTTAAACCCTGTCACTTTAGATCCTAGAGTGGCCGTCATGTAGGTTTGGAGGGTATTAAAGTCCCAGTGTTTTTTATCATTAAATGAGATAAACTGTATTACACATGATCAGTCTGTGTGTTCAGGTTTAGAGCTTAAATCCCTGAATTTCCTTTCACACAGGTTGTTGAGTGATTTTGTGTCACATTTTCTATGGCTGTGCCTTAGTAGCGGGACCAGCAGAGAGCTGAACAAAGCTGAACATTACAACAACATCATCAGAAGAAGATGAGAAACGTGATGACGTGAAGTTTGGACTTCTCTAGTTTGGCACTCTAACAGCTTGTAAATATATATATCCTCCAGTCTGCAGCATGGACGGACGCGCGGCTCATTAGCTCTCAATAACTCTGACAAGAGCTTCCACATTGTGGCAGCTCCCAACCTTTGTACGCTCACAGCTGCGACGACTCCAAAATAAGAACCTTGTTAATTATTTCAATTAGCGGATTGCCAGAAAACTCATTCAATAAATAGTCAAGTTGTATTTTGGTTATAGTTGTAATTGTGCTTTATTTTGTAATCCTCTTATTTAGTTTTCTTGTGCAACACGCAGGAGTGAGTCCTAAAACCTCAAAGTGAGTAAGCATTTTAGCACTTGAAGTTATTTGAATGGATTTGTTGTTAGATGTCTGAAGTAAGGTATGTGCTTAACGCAAGCTGACGAGATTTTCACGTTTTGTTCTACGACATAAAATATGTAAGTAAATACCCCAACTGTACATTTTTAAACTTTTACATGGCTTAAAAAAGCTATTGCCAAACATGGAGACTTCACTAATTGCATTTACGCTTCAAAAATCAGAGAAATTCCATTAACTTGTGTGGACTGGAGTGTCATAAACCTTTGGCTTAATTATACACCAACCCTTTACATTTGGCCACATTCTTAAGTAAGCTTTTCAGCTACACACACACACACACACACACACACACACACACACACACACACACACACACACACACACACACACACACACATATAGTGTACATACACACTTTATTATTAGATACTGCTGGTTCTTGTTCAGTCTGAACAGAGGGACAGTTGACACAAATGGAAGCACACATACACACTCATCTTCCTACTATTATATGACACTGCAATTAAATGACACACCCTGCTAAGTTGTTTGACACACAAACACAAAACTCTCACACATACACACACATAAGGAGGCTCTTTACTATTTGCTTTTGTCTGTGTACATGTTCTGTCTTTCCACCAGGAGACCTTTTTTTCTGCACCAAACACAGCTACTGATTCCCTTTATCTAGCATTCATTAAGTTTATAGTCTTATGTTACTTTTGTAAAAACTTGTGTTTGCTATCAATACATTTAGTCTCAAATCCACCTCATTAGTTGAACACTAAGGCTGCTGGACAACAGTGCGTTGTTTCTGGGAAATTAGTCTTATTTTTTCTCTTAAAAGAAAAGAAAGTCAAGAATGTTTTGCAATAAAAAAGTCATCTTGTTTTAAGAAGATATATCTTTGTCTTAATACGATATTACAGCTAATATTGAGCTCAATAGGTTACAACAATGGTTTGCATAATATCCCAGCAGAGGAACAAGATTATTTTCCTTATTTTAAGAGTAAATCCACTTCCAAAACTTCTTTATTTAACAGAAAGTAGTCTTGTCACAGTGTTGTAAATGAAGCAGCTGTTCAGTTTTAATACAAAATGCTAAAAATAAAAAAGCTTCGGGTGCATTTAAGACAACGTCGCTTATTTTTATTATGCTGTTTGAAGAAACTGTGTCTTATTGGAAGATTTCTTTAGATTAAGGTACAAATTCTTAAATTCAGCTCAATAAAGTGACCAAATACTTATAAGTCTATCTTAAATAACACAACTTGCTTACATTTATGGGCATTTTTCTAGTTTTAACATCCTTTACAGTCTTTCAGTGGAGAGATTTTAATGCTAGTTTTAAGAATTCTAGCCAAGCAAACTTGGTTTACCCCACTGACAATTGTTTTTTGCTCAATACAAGTCAATACTTGTTTCTAGAAGGGTTGTTTTTGCAGTGTGGCTTTCTGAAGGCGACCAGACAGCTGTGTGACTTGTGTATCATCTATGTGTGTATGTGTGCGTGCGTGTGCTTATTCAGCTGTTGTTTTCAGACACAAATGGTGCTAAAACACGTGGACACCGACTGGCCGACCACAGGGACAAAAAGAGGAGAGGGAGGATGAGAAAAAGAGAGATGGAGAGAGGGATGAAATAAGAGAAAGAGAGTGAGCGGGGGGGAAAGTAGAAGGAGATGATTAGAGAGAGGGGAGGAGGAGAGGAAAAATAAATGGTTAAGGAAGGGTGAAAGATGGGCAGGAAAAGGGGAAAGAGATAAAGCAGAGGAAAAAAGGGAAACTTTAGGAAATTAAACGACAAATATGGTTTGTGGAAGGGTGAGAGAGGGACACGAAAAGTTAAGGGGAGAGTGGAGAGCGGGGGAGGACACACAGAGGTAGGAGGGGAGGGGAGGAGAAAGGAGACAATAGGGAAGAATGGGGGGTGATGGGGCGGTTGAGAGCCCGAGCCGATCGGCCGGCTTTCCTCTACAGACTTACATCATGTTGGTCAGAGTTACATAACAGCCCTGGTTCAGTCTGTCTCACCATCACCATCACACACATTATCATTACCCAGTCTGTGTTAACGCTCACATACATTTCAGTCTGTTGACATCCACTTCGGTTGCCAGATGGGTGAGAACTGATACACAGGACACAGCCGGAGTTTAGACCGATCACTGGGAGGGATTTTCATTTTGTGTATTTATTTTTTTTTGAGGGGGGGGTGGATCTACTCTCCATTATTATAATTATTATAATTATGTTCAATGCATGCTAAAAGAGGCTCCGGTGGTCTTATTTTTTTTGGTTGGTGGCATTTTTAATTTAGTTTGAGTTCACACAGTAAAATTAGGGCTGCGTTCACACGTTCGAGTATACCCTGTGAGGAGCCTATTATTATAAAATTATTTAAGACTCTCTATTAAGACACTTCCTACAACAACCGCATTCTCCCCCGACACTTTTCCAATGTTTGTGGTGGTGCGAACACGAGCAGAGATGCTATGTCACCATGAAACATATCAGATCTCTTCTTTTCGTAGTAGTTTTCTCACCTCATCTCCGCTCTGTTAAAACAGATTCCTGGCTGACTGGTTTTAAAAAAAGCTGATTTACTGGGGCACTCTGGTTGCTCACCTGGAAGAGCCCATGTACCCAGGCTGAGTCTTTACTGCAGCAGGTTTGAATCCAACCCGCGGCCCTTTGCTGCGTGTCCCTGACCAACTTAAGCTGTCCTATCAAGCCTTACTGTCTGTGTTTACAGCATTATATTTTAGTTTTTTAGAGTATAAAATGTATATAGAATGTATAAAGCTCTGCTGAGCTTCCCTGGAATACAGCAGACTGTCCTAAGTCAACATCCATTTGTTGCTACCCATAAAGTCCTAACTAAAATCCTAACCCTGTCAACATGGCTGAAGCGCTCGGCTTGCCCGTTGTATCCCCCGAAAAACAGGTTAAACCGGATGTGTGGAAATAGTACACATATACATATCATACAGTAGTTTCTAAAGCATAAACTGTAAATGTTTTGATGCCTCATATACACACACATACCTGTACAGGATATGGCACCAGAACTGTAATAGAAGGAACATTAACATTATCCTCACCCTGCTCCTTGATCTGCCTGATCTGCTTCACCGTCTCTTTGAGGATGGCACATTTGTCCGGCTTGACGTTGAGGTCGTCCATGTCGTTGATGTTGGCGAAGATCAGCTCGGCCAGCTCCTCGATGTACTTGTTCTCCTGCTCCCGGTTCCTCCTCTCAGTGTTCCTCTTAGGGCTGCCGGACACCAAACATGAATGAGAAGCAAGATTAGTATCTAAATAGTTAAATGATCAAGCACATGACTTTGAAACTTATTGGTTAAATGAAGAATTTTCAAGCACTTTCCAAGCCCTAAAAAAACACTAAAATCTCTCACTATTTTTATTCCATGCATGTTTTATACTTGCGTTGGACTAGCATTAGCTAATTGTATAGTATTATGACTACAACTGGGGGTATCATCAGTGCTTGAGCTTGTGCTTGTGCAGTGATTACCGTGTACCTTCGTTGAAACACAGACATCCACACTCTGACTTCCAAACAGCCTCACTACTAACTGAACTACAATCCATGTGTCCTCATTATAACCTCAGCGCAGCGCAACTCACGGTACATCCTGACAACAACCTTCATGCATCCTCTCGGACACTGAGAGCACAACGACTTGTTAGCCCTTATATAAACTGTCTGTAAAAATGCTGCAGCAGCACTTTTCTTCATCGACCTGCGGAGCCTCGACTCGTTTCACCAACCTCTCCCCCACGCACCCCGCTTTTTCTCCCACTCCCAGAATACAAGTGCATTTATTACTTTACCTGGTTACAAAAAAGAAACCCCCAGAATCATGTACAAGAAATTACTTATTATCTACATATTGGGCTTTTCGCGTTTCTTTTCACACTCAAATGGAGAGACAAGAATCAAAAGTGGGAATCAATACGAACTGAAATCAATAAGTGACACCCAACCCTATAAGTCCATAATGAGGATGTGGATAATTAATAATTGATTGAATGCTGCACTGTACTGAAGCTCCTGGTGAGGTTATCTCGTCCTGAAGTTATTATAATGTATAGTAGTTATTACTGTACAGAAGTATATGGTTATTGTAAAGAGGTGTGTGTTAATGCTACAGTGAGGGTTCAGTGGCGTAATAGTGATGTATGGAGACTGTGGACTAAGGAAGAAGGCCTTCACCTTGGGCCCAGGAGGTCTGACTGACAGTCCTTCCTCTTCAGAGACTCTCCCCCTCTGGGGGGCTCCGGGGTGTTCCCTCCCCCACTACTCATCTTCAGCAAATATCAGCACCTAGAGAGAGAGAATGAAAGAGAGAGCATTTTTTAGTTTTAACAAAAGAATCATAAGAACTATTTAAAACAGGATATTCATAATGATTCTGGCTGTCAGTGATTTTTCCAAATCTAAAACATACAACATACAACATATATACATACAACATATATAGATAACGCTGTCATGTTGAAACAGCAGCCCTTTAAAGTTATTATAAGGCAACAGTAAGAACTGTTTGTAGACATTGTTTGAACAATGCAAATGCAGATCAGTTACCGGACGTGCCTGTCATAATATTTACTGTCATAGTACGAAGCCAAAGAGCTCAGCGTCCAAAGAAGTTCTGTCCTTCTGTAATTTACATTTAAAGCTGATTTATATCTTTTGTTCTTGTTAAACATATGATGTAGAAGACCACAATGGAAATAAGTTATTTTTCACAATTTGTAATGAATATGTACGGCTTTGTCGCAGTGTTTGACAAGGTATATGTTTTATGTAGCTAATCTGCCTCTTTACTGATGTGCAAAAACATTGTGGAAATTAAAAACCTCACCGCTGACAGTGTTATTAACGACAGTATTATAAACAGACAAGAGTTAATGTGCTGGTGATGTACACAACCTGTTTGAATGGTGCATAATCAAACAGGGAGTGTGCTCATAACTCATGAAAACAATGTTTCATTGTGATGTGCCTGCAGGCAATATGTGGGAGGCCCAGTGGGAATACAGGAGGTGTCAATAATTACTTACAGTTAGGAATAGCTAATTCATGTAGGCACTCACACCGCTCCTATGTGAACATTTCTGGCAAATAAGATGTCGGCCTTTAATAGAAGTCACAGCGTTGAGAGCCAAACTGTCTCATTCTAAGAGTACAGTGCAAGAATGAAAAAGTATAGGTAGCTGGAAAGAAAATGAAACACCCATTGGCAGAGAAAGTTACACCATATGGTCACCTCATGCTGCTAGACCTTCTACCAAACACCGGTGACAAAACTCATCTTGTTGGCCCAACAGCGATCCGCACTGTGTTCGTCTTTGTGGGATTTTAACAACCTACTTGCAGCGTGCCCACGAGTCTCATTCTTAACTAAAAAGAGACAAAAGAGTCAGAGCTGTGAATAGGTTTTGACACTACCTAGTGGATTCGTAAGTGCTAATACACGTGATTTCTCCTCTATTGTCGGCTTTTCTAATGCTTGTTGGATTGTGAATTAAGATTTTTTTCCGTTTCTGACAATGTTTCACCTTTATCTTTGACTGGCGACGTTATGAGTTAAGGACTTCGACTAAAAACAGCAGCAGATCCGATGTCACTTGTCCAACATTACTGAAATTAACACTCGCAGTTATTTGCGCTCTTATAAAGTAAATTGTGCTGGTCAGATCTGTGTGGCAGTCAGTTTTTAAACATGCAGTCTTAAATCATTTTATAAGCATATTCTTTGTTAAATGATGATTTAAGAGATAAAAATATTATTTTCTAACAAGACTACAAACTGAAACAAAAAGTGCTGCTTTGAATGCGACATATCTTTACTTATGTACACAACCATACACACTGATGAGTGTAGCAGTTGCAAGCGGGGAGAAGCGCGGTGTTTGTCAGGGCGGTAGGCCTTTAAGGCCCTTCATTGGGCCAACACATCACCTGACTGTTACATAACAGCCGGTCTGTGGGGCTGATACTGAGCAGATGAAGGCAGGAAAGAGGGATAAGGGAGAGAGAAAACATGAGGGAGGGAGAGGGAGAGGGAGAGATGACATGAGAGAGAAAGTGAGAAAAGAAAGAGAAAAATAATGGATAGAAGAAGAATTTTTAAAAAATGAAAGCACAGCAGAACGGAGAATAGGAAAAGGATTTAATAGATGAACAATGGGTTTATTGGTGGGTATGTGCAGATATCAAGTTGGCGAGCGCAAATGGGGTGAAATAAGAAAGGAGGGAGAAAATGGGGAGATGGGCATCTGTTGCTCTGAATAATCAGGCCTGAGGAAGGAGGAGAATATGGCCTAATTACACCATGAGAGGAGTGGAGAGGAGTGGAGAGGAGTGGAGAGGAGAGGAGAGGAGAGGAGAGATGGCCAATCAGATCATGTAAAAATCAGCGTCTTTTGGCTCTGGCTTTCGCTGATAGTTCCCAGGAACTTGTTAATCAGTGTTCATCATCCTCAGTCTCATCCATATGCTCGCTGCTCACTGTGTTCCGCACTGCCACCAACATGTAGCTAAAACCGCGCCACCCTGTCCAGCCCGGGAGCCGCTCTCGCGTTGGACAGAAAAACAACCTTTGTCCGGCTGCGTGTTTTGTTTACTGAGGAAGTTAAGTGTCACGGCTCGGAGCCAGTCAGTAAAAATCGATCGTCAATCTTGAATTAAACGGAGGCGTGAGTTAGGAAAGAGTGCTTCTAACCAATGAAAGAGGACTGCACTTGTCACTATAGCAATCTGCTGCAACCAATGTGAATTCAAGCTGGCTGCAGCTGGTATTCTCCATGGAGGATGATACTGCTGACAATTTGAGCAAACCTTTAGGTCTACAGGGGTTTTTGAGACACAAAAGACTTTTCATTTTAGTATTAATGAGATCGATATTATTAACAGTGTTATTGTTCTTGCTTTGGCCCTCCTCATCAACTTTATTTTGTTTTTTCTTACTATAAAAGGTTCAAATATTTAAAAAAAATGTTTCAGTTTTAGTTGTTGGGTTTTCCCTGCCTACCGTCTAACATTTCGTGGGAGTGTTCATCAATGAAACGTAGCTCAGTTGCTGTCTATATCGATTGGTTCAGGAAAAAGATATTCCAAGCTATCAGAGATTATGATTCAGACATTTAATTGTTTTGGATCTACTCGTTGTTTCCACGTTGTAGACTCATAAGCAGAAACTGAATGTTTATTAATACTCTTCTTTATTGACAGTGCAATTAGCAACCTAAATAGCATCCTCGTCTCGTTAGGTAGCAAAACTACACTAATTCAAATTTTCAGTAAGTTTGTATTAAGCGGGAAAACAGAAAGTCGTCTGGGTCGTCTTAAAGGTTGATTATAGCCTGACTGAATGTTTAAATCAATCTTCGAAAGGTGCACACACACACACACACACACACACACACACACACACACACACACACACACACACACACACACACACACACACACAAAGCCACTGAACTCACAACCTGGATCATTTAAACATCTCAATCAATGACTTCTGATACACTTGCCCACTTTCACAAACACACACACATACAGAGAGGTGCATATGGCCTTGTGTACTCACACACACACACACACACGCAAAAACACATGATGAATTAACACTAATGTAGCCTGCGACAAAAGCCTCCCCCCCGGTTCAGCCCTATACTAATGCAATCAGAGGAGCCGAGAGCTTCACAAAGAGAAGCCATTTAAAAACAATTTGAGCCGGAGCGAAGAGACGAGGCCAGAGGGTCAAACCAGCCATTAAGAAATTAAAGCTGAGGATCGATCACAGCCTGCTTGAGGGGACTCTGTCTCCAACAGAAACCACCCTCCGTTTCTTTGTTTTGAGTTTCTGAAAATCCACTAGTGACGGGGTTGAGCCTTTCACAGGTGGGTGTTTTTGTTCTGTTTACTTTTTGGAGGTGTCACATGTTGCATTTTTACATAAAAGCTGCTTTATTTTGACACATTCATTATTTCAAGGAAGGAAAACATGAGTGGTAATTAGTAGAAACACTATAACGAAGGCAAAACTATAATAATCTATTATGGCAGACCATTTGTTTACATAGTAAACAATGTAATTATTGAAATCAAACATTATATCCTAAAACATATACACTATAATACTAAGCTAAAACCTGTTTTACCGTCAGTGTAAAGCCAGAGTATGGGGCAGTGGCTCCCATATCGCTACAGGCATGTTATAATTTATTTAACTACAAACGGTCTCTCTGGTCTATTAAGCTTTCAAGGAATATCCTTGAAAATCTACTTCCTGGTTTGTTATACAGGGAGCAGGTAGGTGTCAGATTACAGCCAGATGGAGGTCAGCTGGGGAGAAAGAGACGAGAAAGCGGTGCAATCTTTTAAACACTAATTATGATTGTTTGGTAAAATAACTAACAAATAACTTATGACTAATAAGTGCAGGACGGTTTGTTAATAGAGTCCAGATAATTACGAGAAATACTGCACAAGAGGGAATGGATGGAAAGCTGAATAAGCGGTTGGGAGGATGTGACAATCATCATTTGCATGAGAGACCTAGCCTGACAAAATGATAGTTGTCATGGAAGTAAAGCACACTATGGGTTGTTATTAAAGTCATGAGTCATCCTCAGGCATTAGCTTGCAGAATAATTGAGGTTTTTTGAGAGTGTAACAAAAAAAAAAAGACTGACCACGCAGTCTTATGTAATGACTGAAGGCACAACATAAAAAGCTCATGTGTTTTTTTTTTTGCAGGGATAGTGGAAAACTCTTCTTTATACCTACTTTGGAGATATTAATGTTAAATGTCAGAGTTGTTATCCTGAGAACATCATTTGCTGTCTCCACTCCATGTTATAAGACAACCCAACACTCAATTACTGAAGCTTCTCCTTCACCCATTCAAGTCTGTGCATCTTTGAGAGACCACCTTACATTTTGTTGAGGAACCTTTTAAAAGGACCAGTGTAGAAACGAGTGCTGTACCCACAATCCAATTTGGCTGTTCAATTCGAAGATATTCCTTCTTTTTTTTTAAGTTCAGACCCACATTAAACTCCGGTGGAAACAAGGCTACATTAGTCTCGTGTTTAATGCCTTTCTTCGTCATCTGTGATGTGAAAATCAAGAATCAGATTTGCAAAAAATCAAAGAAACTCAAAATATGAGACATAACAAAAAGCGAGTCAACTCTCGACTGATGATTTGAATCACTGACTTTTCGGGGGCAGCCATCGCAGACATATGGCGGTTGAACATGACGGCCTCCGTGGAAGAGGACCTGCTTCCTCTGTAGATTAAAAACAGCT